GTTTACCTCTTTTACGTAGTGATATAATTAAAAACAGATATCACGGCTGTATAAAAGAGCATTCATTACCTTGATCAACTAGCTTACACACACACACACACGCACATAACTTTGTCTGACAACAGGTAGGTAAAGCATAGATCTACCAACTACTTCTGAGTAGTACTTTATGGCTCAGCTAGCTGCTCCGATGTGGACAGGTAAAGGCCTCAAAAGCTTCGGCAGTAAAATGTCTGTGAAAATCAGAAACGAAGCAGCTCTGAGAAGAAGCTGAGCACGCAGAAGAAGAAGAAGAGGAACGACTGAAGGCAATAACAGCTTAAAACACGAACAGAGCAGACGACATTAAAAGTGGAAAATAAATGTAATAATGACATTTGTGGCCGTTAGATTCTTAACTGTTTGACATTTTGCGTAACCTTTTTCGTAGACATTTGGCCTTTTTATTTTTTTTTTTTTTTTGCTTAGCTTGCTTGCGGTGCAGCCGGCTTTTATTTGGCTTGGCGCATTCGCAACTGGGCTATTGGTCTAGTGGACCGAGCGGGCAAATAAAAAAAAAAAACAAAAAACTTTCAATTTCATTGGAAAAGCCGTTGTATCTATCAAATGAAGCAAGAAATGGAAATTGCAGCTGGCTGGAAATGCATGCCAAATGGATTATTCACGTTGCGATCAAAGCACAAAAAAAAAAAGGAAAAAGAGGTGAAATAAAAGATTCGCAGAGCAGAAAAACCCCGCTAAGAAATCAACCAAAGCCAATACATAAATACGCTAACAAGCGTCATTAGTTTAAATAGATTAAAACTTTGAGAGTTTAAGCTTTAGAGAAAATTAGTAGCCAATGGATAATCTATTTAATGCGCGATGTAGACCTAATCTTATAATAGATTTAGATCCTCATCAATCCTCATGATGAAGAGAAAGCCTACTTAAACTATATATAATTTTAATAAATACAGAATGAGGTTTTTTGAAAGAAGTTCGCTGAGAAAAAAAACTTCCAAGTAATAAATCAAAAACATTTTCGAGTTTTCAAGTGAAAATGCGCTCAATAAATTTACTATATTATGGGTATTCCCTACAAGATAATATTTAAGGATTGCATATAGTTTTTAATTTCATTTATGATGTAAGAAAAATAAATTCTGATTCTACATTGCAAAATCCCTATAGAAAAATAATTTAAAAATTCTAACTTAATTTGTAACCATAAAAACAAATCATTTTATTTCTATAACATATAACAGTAACTACGAAATTTATAGAAATTTCCTAGAAAATAATTTCACAAGAACGTAAAAACGTTGTCAAAGTTCACACCGAAATCTCTGCCTAATTGTAAATGAGAGCATTGCAAACGTGATGGAAATACAAATGCAATCTAACTGAAAGGGCATTCGGCAACAATTAAATTGTAGAAGCTTGAAGCAAAAACAGCAGTAAACAAGCATATATCTTGTAGAAGACGAGGCTAACTATGGAATGCTCCGTTGGCCAGCGGCGACGAGAACACGACCTGGCGACCGAGACGTCAAGAGGGAGGAGACGACGCACTTATTGACGTAGCTAAACACATTAGCCGGTGGCTGCCTGGCGTCACTTCATTGTCGTTTGAGCTCCAGCTCCGGCTCCGGCCGGTGTGATGGCGCAAACAGTGTTGCAAATGACCCAATTATCCACTGACCCACTCGAAGCGCGTCCCAAACGGTTGGACGATTGCCGGCACCGGGTTGTGCAAGACTAAGAGAAAGAGCAAAAGCAACAGACAGGCAGACAGAGAGGGAGAGAGAAAGAGGGTGAAGCCGATGTCAGCAAAGCTGTTGAAAGAAGCGACTTAGAATATAAGCGGGCTCTTTAGGAATCAGCCGCCTTATTCCGCTGCTGCTGTTGCTGTTGCTGTTGTTATTGCCGGTCAGCAATTATTGTAGCCAAATGAATAGAGGAAAATGACGAGACCTTAAACCTAAAATAGAGACATTAATTAGCCAAATGACCGGCAATTTGTGGACGCACAAAAAGAAATTAATTCGCCAGTTACGGTTGTTACAGCGGATCTCTGCGAACATTTTCAATAGGAGCTGCCGCCGTTGCTCTCAGTGGAAATAGAAGCGACACCAGGTGAAAGGTAGCCGCACACACAGAGAGAGGGAAAGAGAGAAAGGGAGATTGTGAGAGCGAGAACGAGAGATGGTTCAAAGTTTGCGCAGCAATTCAAAGTTGGGTGGCTGTAAAAATCATACAGAAACAAAAATATACAAAAACCAAAACAAAAACAAAATATAGTTCGTTCGCTGGGCTGGCTGGCTAATGTTTTGGAAAGTTCATTCTGAAGTGCATTCCCGGTCCCAAGATCGCTGCTCCAGTGTTGAGTAGTGTATGTTTATTTGTCAGTCTCTCCGGACTTGCCTATTTGTTTGTCTGTTTGTTTATTTTGAAATCGTCGACAACGGCTCGAACGTGCTCCATTAGAAATCTTGTGGCTGACTGAGCCACTGAGGAAAACAAACTTTTCGGGGCTATCAAAACAGTAATCAGACTTTTTTTTTTTCTTTCATTTTGCCTTTGCCTTTGGCTTTTGTTTGAACACTTTTCCACAGACAATCAATGCTTTTTCTTTCGTTTATTTATATATTTTATTGAGCTCTCGTTCACGCTTAATCAAAATAAATAATAATTGCAGTATTGTGCGAGCAACAAGAATCAAACTTAATAAAGATGCTTAAAGCTAAATGGAATGAGAGTTTGATTTGAAGTACAATGTATGTATATAATAATAATAATAATAGTAATAGTAATAATATTAATGGTAATGTTTTAAAGAGAACGCCATCATTTTGTTATTTGTGCAAAAACTATAAAGTATAAATGATGAACATGCATTTGAGCTTATTTTAACACAATTACGATTACAATTACAATTACAAGCTAGTGAAAATCTTAATTAAATAAATTAGTTGCGAGCAATAATTTTTCTTTTAATGTGGGGAATGGTAACAAAAGCAGCCGGCACCATACCGGGCGGCCCCGCCATTGGCCGGAACTCGGCTTGATCGTGGAAAACTGTGACATTTTTCCAGCATGCCAAGCAACAGCAGCAATGGAAAACTCTAGACAAGCAATGCAATGCCTGTGCCCGCTCGCGAGTTTCTTTTAATTAAAAAAGGCGAAAACTTTTACTCGGCGCCAACTGCTAAATAAGCAGGTAACTAGGGCTGCTGCTGCTGCTGCTGCTACTGTTGTCTTAGATTTTATGCTCAGTGATCAGAGCTTCGCATAATTGGAAAAAGTGTCTTACAAATTAAAAAGCGCGGCTCCATTGATGAGCCGACAAACCTTAACCTTCATTAAAACAGCTGCAAAGATGCGAAAAGCCGACCCAAGAATCAATTTCAAATGAGTGCTAATTCAGTCAAGTGAATAATAGGTTAATGTAGATCCAAAGATAATAGTGAATGCAATGAATATGATCATTTCAATGAATACTGTATACATTCAAATGATGCGGTTGGCGTGTTCACACCACCCGAAAGCAACAATTGAATGACTCGAATATCTTATACTTGAAATGAATGAAAATGAATATGCGAAATATAAAATGCTAGCAAATATATGATAAATGTTAAATAAAAACTTGTATATATGTAGCATAAAAATGAAATGCAAGAAAATACAATTGTATAAAAAATAAAACCAAAAATAATAAAGACGAAATATAAATAAATCAAATCATGCTGATAGTATTCTAATTTGACGATTGAAAATGACAACCCCTAAATGTATTTCTATAGATTGAGAACATATACTACATATTATGATCTGAACTCGATTCGAGTACAACATTTGCCAGAGATCAGTGCGTGTGATTTGTCTCAACAGCATTTTCGATTTAATTAAATTCGAATTCTATAAATAACTTAGATAACTAAGAAAAGTTCACTTCGTAGCGCTCTATCAAATAAACCTTATCTAAAAAGAAACACACCGAATACGAAAACTACAAATACCCAAAAATACAAATTTCAAATAAGAAGACATATGTTAATTAGGAACGTGACTTAATTAGAAACAAATTATTAGCGCAGCAAGGCAAACAATTGAGGTCACAAAAACCAAGAGCTAAACGCGAACAGCGAAAATGCTAAGAAAGTGAAACAAAATATATATATGTATGTATATGTACATACATATATATTGATGTTAAACATTAAAATCAATATTTCCTGAATTGATTACCCTCGATTTTCTTGACCAATTATTTACGTTGCCATCTAACTGGGTCTAACAAATAGATCACCGATTTAAGCTCGTCAATTATGGATTGTTTTGTCTTTGTTTCGGATCAATCTCAAAAGTCTTAAGTACTAAACGTTTATGCACAAATAACAAAAGAGAGCAGAAAAAAAAACTATAACAATTGCCAGAAAATGTTTAGCTTTTTGTATGAAGTATGCGTCATTGCTTATGATATATACAACTATATGTATATATATATTTATATATGCTGTATATAGAGTACAGCTGATAGATCTACACACTGTTGCAGCTGTGTGTAGTATTCGCATCCACAATTTATTAATTTTTTTTTTTTTTTTAGCTGGGCCTCTTGTCAAGGCACGATTTCTATTAGTTTTGCGGCTAAAAATCTGCATAAGAGTTTTCGTCGTTGTTGCTGCTGTCGTTGTCGTTGCTGTTGTTGTGGTTGTTCATGTTGTTGTTGTTGATGTTGTCTTTGTGGTTGAGTCGGCGCTTGTCTGAGCAAAAACAAAGCGATTCCGCCGCAGTGAAAGTGAAAGTTTTACCATGTACATATGCATACATATATGTTTATATATATTTAAATATATATGTATATATATATATATATTTATATAGACAGATCTACAAGGTTTCCAGCGCAGACATCTTTAGTCATATCGCCAATTGTTGGTGTTGTTGTTGCGCCCATGGCGCATTTATTTCAATGTCTCGTTTATTTCATTTATTTTTTATTTTTCCACCACGTTTCGTTTCAATTTCTCTTCAGCCGACAATTCGCTTCATTTGTGGGTTAACGGTTTTGGTTATGCAACGCACACGCCCACGCAAACGCAACCCACATGAAAACTGTTTGGCAATTAGCTCAAATTTCCAATGCGACGCCAAAGCGTGTCGATCGTAAATCCCAACAGGGAAATTTAACCAAAATGAACAAGAACAACAACAACAGCAACAACAACAACTGCTGCTACAGCTGCAGCAACAGCCAAATGGTTTCGTGGGCTTTTGGTTTTGGTTTGGATTTCGTTGATGTGTGATTAGTTTATCGTCACGAGATGGTGGAAAATGCTGGCTTCAATTTTCCAACCGTGCCCAGTATTAAAGTTGTGGGTGTGGCGGCATTGCTATCGCCGCCTTTGCCAGCTGTCATTTGGCTTGTGATATTGTCGCTGCTGCTGCTGCTGTTGTTGTTGTTGTCGCTTTTGGCGTTGCCGTTGCCGTTGTCGTTGCTGCACCACACCAAGTCAAAGCAATTGTTGTAAAATTGTTGCTGCTGTGCCGTTGACTTGCTGCTGCGGCTGCTGCTCTCGCTCCTCTTGTTGTTGTTGCAGTCTAAGAGAAAATCCAAAGCCGTGGGCGTCACAAAATTTGTATCCATCAGATTCAAATGCTCAAAATTGAAGACAAGCGCTTCAGAGTTATAGCTGCCAGCACTATCCAAGCCACTGTCGCTGGCAGATGCTGAGCAGCTGTCACTGTCGCCAGCAATGCCCTCGCCACGACAGCCCAGACCCCCACCACTGCCACAGCCGTTGCTGGCGTCCGCCTCATTTGGCGGAGGTTCGTTGACGGCGCATGTCTCGATCAGCTTGCGCGAAATCTCGTTGATGCTCTCGTCGAGCAGCGTTTCGGCTGCGTTGGCAGCAGCCGCAGTGCCAAAGCAGCTAGCAAACAGATCGTTGGCAATATTCATGCCGCTTAGGATGTCGCCATAGCCCGAGTCGCTCGAGTCGCTGAGATACAATGCCGGAGCTGTTGTTGTTGCTGATGCAGTTGGTGGTGCCGTTGCCGTTGCCGTTGCTGATGTTGATGCTGTGTGGGCGTGACTGCTGCGCTGTGAGCCAATGACGCCCACAATTTCGGCGCGACTGCTGTCGCCGGTGATGGGCGCAAAATGTTCCGTCTCATCGAAATTGTTAGCCATCGTCTGGGAGCAAATCGAGCTGGCGCACGAGCTATCCGAGTGCGTGGACGTTGACGAATTGCTCGAGTTACTTGCGCCCTGCCCGCTGGAGGAGGCATCCGACAGCGAGCGACGCAACGGATAGTCCCACAGTGAACGCAAAGGATCGCAGTCACGGCAGAAGCAAACGCCATGGCTATGATCATGCTGCATGCCCCGATCTCTAGCCATGGGCAGCAACTGTGCATAGTTGGCTGCATTAAGGGCCTGATGATGATGATGATGATGGGGATGCACCGATTGCGGATGGGGATGGTGATGTGGATGATGTTGAGGTTGATGTTGATACTGTTGTTGTTGCTGCGGTTGTTGTTGTTGCTGCTGCTGATGCTGCTGCTGCAGTTTCGGCTGTAAGTCCGCATCCATTTTAAGCAAAACTCCATTAGCGGGCTTGCGATCCTTTTTGCGACGCTTGCGTGGCTTTATGATGCGCGGCAGACAAGTGTCCGTCACGGACGACGTTTGCTCCTGGCCAGAGCAATGACTGTTGCTGCCGCTGCTGCTGCTGCTACTGCTGCTGCTGCTGCTGCCATTGCTGCTGTTGTTGTTGTGGTTGCCAATGCTGTTTAGGGTCTTCTGCTGCTCTTGGGCACTGAGCACTGCAGGTGCAGAATTCTGATAGCGCAACATGCGTGATTTGTCCGTCAATTGAAAATTGTTTACGCGCATGGGCAGCTGATAGCTGGCAGCATGCGCCGGCCAGGATTGCGGCGACAACTGTTGGTGGTGCAACGGCACATGATGTTGTTTGATGTTCTGTAGCAGCGGCTGTCCCTGCGCATGCACCGCCAGCTGGGACATGGACTGTGCACCAGCGGCCGGCCACGGCTTGCCCGACTTTCGCAGCAAGCGATGACGCTGCGATGGGGCTAGGTGACTGCAGGCATTCGATATGAGCGGTATGCCGGCGCACTCATTGATGCGCTGCTGATTGACCAGCAGCTGTTGAGGCTGTGGCATCGCCGCTGCTCCTGCACCTGCACCTGCTCCTGCAGATGCATGGTATATGCTATGATGCTGCAGTTGCGCATGCAGATTATAGCAGGCAGCAGGAGCTGTGGGCTGAGCAGCATTCCAAAGCGCGTGCGGCTGTAAAGATTGATGCTGCTGCTGCTGCTGTTGACGTGTGGGAGGCGCGTGGAGCGCGTATCTAGCGAACTGGCAACCGTTTGCGTTTTCTGGTGCACGATAAACGGCCACATGCGATCTCATAATCCTGCCTAGTTCGTATCTCACTTGGTAGCTGCGTCAGTTGTCCTGGTCTACCGTGCGTATCGCACATCACTTGGCCGCGTTTGCAATTTCAACACTTCAATGCATGCAGACGGCCATTGCGAAAAACATTTCCACACGCGGCAACGAAAATTCGCACGAAATGAAAAGCGTATCAAAAGCGAACTGCATAAAAGAAACTGGCACAACTGTTGATCGCCCAGCCAGCAGCAACTGTTGCCGCTGTTGTTGATGGTTTTGTTGCGGCTGTTGCTGTTGTCGAAATTACGAAACACTTGGCGCAGACGCAGCCAGCGACGGGAGCGAGACAAGACGAGACGGCGCGACAGTTTATAAACTCGTTTCGACTACGCTCAACTACAGACTTGAAGCGTCCGCTCGCGAGCCAAGCTTGTGGCAGACTGATGGCAGTGAATTCAATTTCATTCGTGCACGAGCTTTGCCGGCCTAACAGTAAACGCACTTGAAGCCGTTATGCCCGCGCTCACGCTCTCACTCTCCCTATCTTTTACTCTCACACATACACACACAATCTTTGGCGCTTACTCTCTTTTAAGCTCGCAATCTCTCTGTCTCTCGCTCGCACTCTATAAAGCTGCTGTTGCTGCAGCTTCGGGCCAACGTCCAGCAGCTTTGCATGTCGAGGTCATGCAGTGTTGCTTTTGTGCTGCCATTGCTGGTGTTGTATGTTAGTTGCGTTGCATATGATTTTGGCGCTTACATTCAATTAAATTATAATTGATGTCTGCTCATGCTTATGCTATTGCCATTATTATTAAGAAAAAACCATGAGTTTGAACTTTAATTGCCCGATTGAGCGATCGCAAACCGGTTGCGGTTTTGGCCATCCTGTCAACCATGGCTTGCATTACAGAAAAAGAAAATATGATCGATGTGCCGATAATTAAACACTCTAAGTACGAAAATGGCGATACATTGACAAATATTATGTGCATATATTATTGAATTGATCTACAACATAATAAGCAATTATAAACAAATAGTAATACGGCCCCTTGCAATAAATGCGCAACTGATATCAGTACAGGATTTTTTAAGGGGAAGAATCAAAACAAACAATGAGCATATGTTTTGATTCTGTACAAAGCATTATTTGTATATACAGTAAATGATATGTTCCCCTCACATTTTTAATGGAAATAGCATGACAATGTATTTCGGGATATTTATAAGTTATGTATATTGCCGAAAGTGGCGCAACCAATTAAGATTATATCATTAATTTGCTTAAAACTTATTCACCTAAACACCTATACCGCTCTACACTAAATGACTAAAACGAAGTTAAGCAAATTTGTTGTTTATTGCAAACAACAAAAGACGTTAAACTCAATTCATCATTATGAATCAAGATTATATATGTATATAGCTGTAAACGAATCTGTCCTTTAATGGGGTGCTTATGCGATTACACAGTCGTAATACTGTATGAAAGGGTACTCACAAAAATATATATATCGACATTTACAACATAAGAGAACTTTCTCTTTTCGCGAGCCTTTTGTAACTTTCCTTTTTGCCCATATGCTCGCATACACAGACAGGAGGTCGCACAAGCATTCACTCTCTCACACACTCACACGCACCCACACAAATACATTTTTAAATATATAGAAATAGCAGTACTCACATGATAAGTTGTCCAGCATGTGATTCAACAATTTCGTCGTTCCATTTGGCTCATTATAGATATTCATGAACTCCTTTTGCAGGGGATTGCCCATCAGTCCGAGGATGACCAGATGAAACAGCTTGCCAAGTTCATATGGCAGCACTCGCAAAAAGTTATTGTTTAATAACAGCTCTCTGGAAACAGAAACGAATCAAATTAGATTGGTATTCACTTTTATTAAAAAAAATGTGGATGACGCTATCCCACCTCAGCTGTATGAGCTCGCCCAGTTCAGCGGGCAGGCTGCGTAACTTGTTGCTGGACAAGTCAAGTGTACGCAGATTAACCAACATGCCCACATCCGCTGGCAGTCGGAGCAGCTGGTTGTCATTCAGATAGAGGGCTGTCAGATGCTCAAACTCCCACAATGTGGGACTGATATTACGCACGCAACCTGAAAGCAAAGGATTATTAATTATTGAATGATTCTTAATTGATTTTTAAACAATTTTACGTACCTGTTATTTCGAGCCCAGTCCAATTTGTCTTCTTGCCAGCGGCAATATCCTCGGCAGACAGAAATATCTGCTGCCGTCTATTCGCGCTGTCATATTTGTCTTTGTTACGAGACATTTTATAGTAATTGCTTGTTCCTGAATAGTGGAGAAACACGGTCAGTTATTTTTGACACTTGTTGGTTAGGGGAAGTTTCACTATGGCTGTTGTTGTTTTTGTTTTGGTTTCATTTTAGCAAGTTAGGGCTCATGTTAGGAGACAAAACCCGGCTAGGCAACGGCAACGGCAACAAAAATTACGTACATATATGTTTGCATATGCACATATATATAATTTGTTAAATCATTGCTTTTCCCTTGCAGAAAGTGCATTTGTCATTGTGTGAGCAATACATTAAGTGATTCTTGTTTTTAATGGGAGCTGAGTCTCTTAATTATACATCTTTTGGTAGATTGATCAGACTAAATCATCGGACAAACTCTGATGCGTAAGCAAGCCAAATGGCCAGTAACATTAAAATATTTCTATTTGATTTTTCTTATCGGACCCACATTTTTTTCCTGTAAACTGAGCTACGATGAATCATATGCCCTTCTACGATATGGAGCTCGCTTTAAGTCAACTATTTACAAGTAGTTAAAGATCTTTCACACATCTGCAAGGGTATTTAATCTTCGGTAATCCAAAGACAAAAGTCTTATTTTTTTTTTTTTATGAATGTAGAGGAAGGATGTTGAAACAAATCATAACCTTTCATAATAACCGCCTGATGATTTAAGCGTCTCTGCAAAATATTAACAAAGTGATTGAATTATTATTTGTATTAGTAAACGAAAACACAGACAAACATTCGCAAATAAAAATCATACACAGATGTTTAAGAATAAAATGCAAAATGAAACAAAAAAATTCTTTTACGATTTCGAAAGCGCGCGCGCAAAATTCATATCAATTTTTAACTATGTATGTATTTATATATAAATACATACATAAATACATCAAGATGTGCATTAGTATGTATTTATGTAGTGCTAAGGAACAATTCAAATGTCTTTTGGTGGTTAAGGCAATGGATAAATACAATTTCATCACAATGGATAAATACAATTTCATCACAATTTGCAGCTAGGTTAAGGCGGCAAAGCTTCATGTATGTATATATAAATGCATATATACATTATGTACATTTACATATGTACATACATACAAATGTGTATAATGTTCATATCGCGTTTTAGGCAAAAAGACTGCGGATTTGAGTGTGGTAGTGAAGGAGACGCGAATAAATGTAAAATATACCCAGCACTCATTCTTTACCTATGCTTATGTTAGTTCTATCTTGCTTAGTTGATTGAGTTTTATTTCTTGCCGCCTCTTCACTCGCGCCTTCTCATTGAATTACCAAACAATTTTGAATACGGATGATTTTTCTATTTTTTTAGTCTTTTGTTGTTATTCTTGTTCTTTGGTGTATTTTTACAAATGTTGTTATTGACTGAAATGCGCGAAACTATAAATTTTGTACTAAAGCGACGAAATTGCTAATTCTCTTTCTCGTTTTGGGTCGCTTTTTCTTTTTTGCGCGTTTGCCTTCCATTTATTTATTGTGCGATTCGTTTTCATAGTAGCTTCTTGTTTTTGTATACATGTTGGCTTGGAGTTGCCACTTATTGTCCGGAGAGTATATGTATATTGCAAATGGGAAGAAATTGGATATAACTATACATTAAATTTAATATTTAACAATAAGGATTTTGATAGATATTTCAAATATTTTTTTATTTACACAAACAATTTACAACAAACTGATTTAATCAAAACAAAACAAGCACGTATAAACACTCAAAAAAACATCTATATACACACACACACACACATGCACAAAGTTACTGAAAGATGCACCATGCATATGTATACATACAAACACAATAAAATTTCTTATGTGCTTTTCCAGCCACTTTATATGGTTCTGTTTTAAAAATAATATTCTTTCTTTTGCTGGCAACTATTTTTCCTTATATTCGTGACTTAGCTGCGACAAACTTTTCTCTTTTCGCATATCTCTTGCACACGCTCTTTTACACTATGTGACCAAAGCGAAGAAGCAGAAAAACGCGAAACTGCGGTATTAACATATTGATGCGATCGCGGCTCTTAAAGTCTGTGGCTCATAAACTGATCCTATCGTACTATGCTGGTCACACTAAAAAAATATATATAGCTTTAAAGATCCTGTAGTCCAATTAATGGTCAGGTTAAAGAAAGCTCTTAATACTAATTTCCATTATGTGTAACAATAAACTAACATAATAAATGATAAATGATATTTATTTCTTATTAACTTATGTATGTACATACATATACTTTTAATACATTGATATACATAATTATGCAGCACATGTAATCATCCTACTTCGATGCACAGGTGGCTTTAATAAAAAACAAACAAAAGAGCCTTTCCTTCCAGTACTGAATCAAGGCGAGCTGGCTTAGCAAGCACGTCTTTGTAAAGGCCTCTCTCGAATGTTCCATAACCATGAAAGCTGACATTTTCTTTAGATAACAGTTCAGAAAGATAAGAATCTAAATAAGGAACGAAATTTGGAGAATAAATTAAAAAACGACACTTAATAGTATTTGTAAGTGTTGACAAATATGTAGCTTTATTATTACTATTTTTTCGTTTCAAAGGCAACTCTTTTTTAAGTGACGTTTTGACGTTTTAGTATTTTAGTATTTATTAGTATTTTTTGGCTACCCTGTCTAATACAAAATCTAAGCAACTACATTCCATCAGTTTTAACAAACCGAATGATAGAATGGCGCGTTGTTTGTCGGAAGCTTTAATAAAATATCAAAACGCCGAGGAGGCCAAAATCTTAAGCATTGCGGATGAATTGGACGAGCCTAGCAAATCACTAGTGCGCGAATTGTATGAACCGCTTGTAAGTATAAAAATAAATGAGACACATTACTGGAGACGAAATTCTCTACTATTTGTTAATTGCAGAAAATAACAAGCGAGGATTTGTCTCGCGAATACAGTGATTCCGATAAAAGACAATTATGTTTACGCACTAAGGTTCGTGTTAATATGACACTCTTCAACTGTGTATGGGATGCAAAGCGACGCTTGGAAAAAAAAGGACGCCTTGAAAACCGCTCGCAGCGTTTCATCAATGCGATGCTAGTGAAGGCAGTGGCCAAGAAAATGGTATTGCCCTACACCGAAGAGGAGATAGAATATTGTAATTATATAAGACGTTGCCAACTGAAAAAGGAGAACAATCGTAGACTTAATCGATGGAATTTGGAATCTTCGCAAGAGAACGTACTCGATTGCAGCCATCTGAGTCCATCTCTGATGCCTGCGCAAATAGCCAATGAATCGCATCCCAACAGCCAGCAACAATCAGTAGAACTGCAATTGAAATTGCCAGCTACTTTGGAATCACAAAACACCGAATCAACGCTAGGGATTTTAACAAATGGTCCGGAAATGTGGGTTATTGAAGAGTCCCCAGCACCGGAAAATAAATCAGCTTCGGAGATCGTGGAGAGTTTAAGTATGCCAGATCTTGGAGCAGAGACAGATTGGGCCCACGCTGCTGCACAAATCAATACAGAATCCATGACCATTGGCACTCTGGAGTTCGATTTGCCAACTGATAGCCAACCCATCATCTCAAGTTCCGAGAATTACGACAACTTCAATACCCAGGTTCCGGCCACATCCACCCAAACTCAGCCTCAGCCTCAGCAACAGCCTCAATCTCAATGTACTGAACCATTTCTGTAAATTTATTACGATAAGTTAACAAAATTTGATGAAGTTTCCAAAAATCTTAAGAGATATTTATTTTTAAACATTCCCAGGAATATGTTATTGTACGTTTTGAGTATAAAAATGTCCTTAAAACGTCATACATTATATAATATACATATATATTTATTTATTTATTTTAATGCCTTATCCTAGTTAAAATCGCGCCTTGTCTTAAATGTTCTCTATTCTATTTACCAATTGTTGTACAGTAAAAACTTATGCATAAATATATATAAATGTGTGTTACGAAATTAAAATATATATCCTTGCAGTGGATTAATAGTTGTTCTTAGTTTTGGGCCATAAAAATTGTCAATTATTATTATTTTTATTTTATGCTTATGATATGAACATATTTTTGTTACACAACAAATATATTTACACTTACGATATATACAAAATTGTGTTACCGGTTCTATTGGGAGTTAGGGGCAGCCCAAAACGGAATTGCCGGCATTATTATTTCAGGAGCAGTACAAGGATCTGTAGTGGACTTCGACATGCCGAAGGATAACTTATTCGTCAACGGAATTATATACAAAGATTTACATTAACACAACATAAATACAATTAAGCCTAATAGTCGCAATTGCTGGATATCAACTGTACAGGTTGCAATTGATCTAGCAGTCCCGTTGCCGGGACCAGCTACGGTTATGGGAAGTGGTCAAAGATGAACTGTTCCATGAACAGTGATTCCGTATGCTAGTTGGATGAGTTTTCGCCCAGCTCGCTCACAGAGATGTGCATTTTCTCGTCCCCGCTGTCCTCGTCATCGTCCTCCTCCTCCTCCGTTAGCTCCTCATCGTCCTCTTCGGTCAATTCCCCATCTTCCATTTCATCGTCTTCGCCAAAACTATCAGTGGACGCACCGCCAACCACATCGTCACCGCCTAATGTGGGCAGCTGGACAATCGTGGCACCGCCTGGCGCTGCCGTCACAGTTGAGCCCGCAACTGTTGCCGCCACACTGGAGGCGCCGCTGCCATTTGCCGGTGCACCGCTCGTTGGCAACTCAATGGTTACAATGCCGCTCACGGTGTTAATACTTTTGGGTGCATTCATTTTCGGTTCCTGCTTGATGTTCAATTCGATGAGATCGACGCCCGAACGCGTCTTGAAGTGCGTCTTGATGTGCTTGGACAGGTGATCGCTGCGCATGAACTTCTTGTTACACTCGCGGCACTGGAAACGCTTTTCGCCCGTGTGCGTGCGCCGGTGTCGCTGCAGTTCATCCGAGCGCGTAAAGCGCTTGCCACAAAATACCCAGGAGCAAACGAATGGACGCTCGCCCGTATGCCAGCGCAAATGGGCGCGCAGATGTGACGTTTTGCCGTAGACCTTGCTGCAGCCAGGTATGTGACAGATGTGCTGCCGCTTGCGATCCGAATGCTTCTCGCCGTCGGTGCAGTTGGGACAGGTACAGGCGACGCGCTTCAGCCGTGGCTTGATCTCCGGCACCATGCTCTCGCCCACATTGATGTTCACATTGACACTGGTCGCCGACGTCGCAGACGACTGCAATGCTTGCTTCATCAGCTTGGTACGCGCCGGCGTTGTCACTGCCACTACCTGGCCGGCCGAGCTCATGGTTATTTGTGTGCTAGTGCTCGTGCTGCCAATGCTGGACATGGTCAGCTTGGGCGTGTTGCGTATTGTTGCTGGCGTCGCTGGTGGTGGCAAGGCAGTAATCTGTATGGAGGCTGGTATGCTTACGGCGGGCAGACAGTTGCTATTGCTTCCATCAGAATGCTGCTGTTGTTGTTGCTGTTGCTGTGGTGACTGTGGCATTATGAATTTAATTTGTTGTTGCTGCTGTTGTTGTTGCTGCTGCTGTTGTTGCTGCTGCTGCTGCTGCTGTGCTGTTGTGGGCGTTGCATTTGAAATGGTCGTGACACTGCAGGTATCTGGCGGCTCCTGCTTAATGTTTGTGATCAATTGGGTGGGACTCTGTGGCTCCTGCTTGGGTAGCATGGTCAGCGCGGGAGCTGCCGCATTTGTGCTCTGCACGTTCTGCGCCTGATTTCCGATTGCTGTCGTCGTCTGCATGGGCATGGGCAGCTGTGTGAGCACCTGTTGGAAATTGGCCGCCAGATTTGCTGGCAACTGATTCGCCTGTATAATTTGCACCTGCCCCAGGCCGGGTATGTTCTGTATGGGCAATGCCTGCAGATTACTCGACTGCAACTGCATTGCAGCGGCAGCTTGGCTGGCCCGCAGTTGCTGCAACTGTTGCAGCTGCTGTGCTGGTATCACTGTCAGCTGTTGTCCCTGTGCATTCGTAATTGTTATCGGTTGATTCGCTGGCAATTGTCCGCCCGCTTCATTGATGGCATTCAGTAGCTGTTGTTGTTGCTGTTGGTGCTGTTGCTGCAGTGCAACTGCTGCTGCAGCCGCCTGTTGCTGTTGCGTTTGTTGTTGCTGTTGCAGCTGTTGCGCCTGTTGTTGATGTTGCTGTTGCTGCTGCTGCTGTTGTTGTTGCTGCTGAAGCTGAGCTTGTGGCTGAATAAACTGCTGATGCTGCTGCGGATTTTGTATGTGTATAATATTCGCATTCGGAGGCAACTGGGAATAGTTGAGCGCATTCAGTGGTGCCAGTTGTACCTGAATGTGACAAAAACATAATAATATTTAGCCTGATTATTTTTATTAAAGATTTTGTTTGATGCTCACCTGCTGTATTTGTCCATTGGGCGTGACAATCTGTGCAATTTGCGCAAACTGTGGTATAATTTGCATTTGTGCAGCCGCCTGTTGCATGGAGGCAGGCAACGCTTGAATGGATTGCGTGAGATTGGACAGCGTGGGTTGGGTGGCTGCCGTTGCTGGCGCTGCTGCTGCCTGCACTGGCACATGAACAGTCTGGTAGATTGTCTGACCGTTGGCCGTTTGAACAGGTATCTGCACAGCAACGGTTTGCTGCAGCGTTGGTGCCGCCGGCGCTGGCTGTGGAAATTGCAGCAATTGTGGTGCAGAGCCAGGCGCTGCTGTGCGCAGTTGAATATTTTGCAGCGATTGACCATTCTCCAGTTTAATTGTCGTTGGTGTGGCGCCCAGAAGGTTCGTTATGTTGCCCAGAAGCCCATTTGCGGCAGCCACAGAGGCGGGTATTTGTATGTTGGTGCCGGGAATCGTGATGGTTTGTGGTGTTGCCGTTGCTGATGACGCAGCTGACGCCTGATTATGCTGTTGCTGCTGTGACTGTTGTTGTTGCTGCTGCTGCTGCTGGGCTTGTAGAGCGGGCGTAGCGGACTGTTGGGGCTGCTGCTGCTGCTGTTGTTGTTGTTGCAGCTGTTGCTGCAACTGCGGCTGCTGTTGCTGCTGAACAATGTTTGCCAACGGTATTTGTATGTTGGTTCCGGGTATCGTAAACAGCTGTGTCTGGGTGGGATCGTGTGCTTGCAGCGCCTGCGGCGCCCGCACTATTTGACCATTTGGCGTTATAAACGCCTGCTGGCCATTTATGTTCACTGCTTGGGCCGTGGCCAGCTGTGCATTCAGATTGGGTATAAAGATAGCCTCCTGGCCGTCAATATTCACGGTTTGCATGCCCATTGGTTGAACGATTTGAAACATGTTTTGGGGCAGACCAGAGACTGTGGTTGCACCCCCAGCCTGCTGCAGCTGTGCTGCTTGCATGAATTGCGACGGCATCTGATGTATATTTATTATCTGTTGCATTTGTGGTGCGGGCGTGCCTGTGGTCGCATTGCCAACACCGACTGCACCCGCACTGGTTGCTACCTTTGTGGAGGCAGCGGGCGTGGCAGCGGCCGCTTGTCCATTATTATTGTTATTGACCACATTGGCAACGGTTGCGTTAGCGTTTTTATATTGCAGCATTATTGTTTATTGGCTGCTTTACGAATATAGTTATATTTTTAACGTTTTGTGGCCTTTAGCTGCGGAGGCCAGCACAAGTGCATTGGCTATTAAACTTGGACATGTCCATTTTTTCTTGCACGGGGTAGGACTTTTCAGACGACAAGTTCTTTACTTTACACACAATAAAATAGGGACACACATACACAGAAACACATGGGGACGTTATTTACACTGCATTTTGTGAATTTTGCTTGGATTAGAAGCTAATTATACAATAATTAAATTAATTTTTAATTTTGTTTTGACAAACATAAACGCGAAAGAGAGATGAACCGAAAATATCGTCGATGCTATCGATAATTTATGAAAAATCGACGATTAGCTATCGATTATACCCAGTTTATTATAATTATAATTAATACTTATTAATTTTATTTGTACAGGAACAATATAATTTCTAAAAGTCTTTTTTTGTTTTTCAAATAGCAAATAGTCTTTAAGCTAAGCTAAATTTTTCGCACTAAGCATATTGTTGCACTATCCATTATCGTTGCTTAGTTCCGTCTCTAGTTTTCAAGCTTAAACTTATCGATATGCCTTAGCTTCTTATCGTTAGTAATGCATATCTGCGATTACATACACTCCAAGCATACCGATAAGCCATAAAAGGTGGCGATATGGGCAAAGACAACAGCTAAATTAATAGTTTTTAATATCACTCAAATAACGTACAAAACATGGAGGTGGATCAACACACTTTGGCCGATGTGGTGTTCGTGATAGAAAGCAGTGCTATTAATGGAGCCTACTTGAACGAACTGAAAACGAACTACATTTTGCCCACACTGGAACACTTTACACAGGGGTCCATTGATGAACGCGAATTTCTGATTGCCGAACGCTATGCGACCCTCTACGGCATTGTCACATATCGCACCGCCTCGAATCTCCTGGAGCCAGTGTGTACCACATACGGCCCATTTGTGCAGCCCCAGAAGGTGATTGAGACAATTGAACGTCTGCCGCTGGTCGGTGGCGGCATGGAATCGCATGCCCACATGGCCGAGGGATTTGCTGCTGCCCATGGATGTTTCGACGAGATCAGCGAACAGCGCCACATTATGGAGCAGGGCAATATACAGCGCCACTGCATATTGATATGCAACAGTCCGCCTTACCAGATGTCCGTCAATGAATCCTGGAAGTACAAGGGAAAGTCGTGTGAACAGCTGGCGGCCTTATTCAATGAGCGTAAAATCAATTTATCCATCATTGCGCCGCGAAAAATGCCAGTGCTGTTCAAGCTGTTCATAAAGGCCGACGGCGACCAGCCTATAACGACCAAAAACTATGCCAAGAACATTCGGCACTTGGTGCTGCTGAAGGGCTACAGCCTAAAGGAGCGTGCGCCCAGTCCCAACAGCATGTCCGTGGGTGGCTCGGCTGCAGCTCAACATCAAATGGGAGCTCCACAGGCACAGCAAACAGCAGTGCAGGTGATGAACAATAATCCGAATGGCCAACAGCCAGGTCAGGTGCTGAACATGCCAATGGACACAACGCCTGCACAGCAGCAGCAACCGGGTGGTGGACCACAGCAGCAGCAAGTGATGACCATGAATGCGATGCAGCAGCAACAGCAACAGCAACAACAACAGTCCCAACAACAGCCTGGTGTCATGACGCCACAGCAGCAGCAGCAACTGATGCAACAACAGCAACAACAATTTGTTCCCAATCAAATGCAAAATGCAAACTTCCAGACAAACGTTGTACCAGGTCAAAATCGCTGGCTGTATCCCAATCAGCCCGGACAGCGTCCTGCCTTCATGCAAACCCCGGGCAACAATATGCCGTTGCAGCAAGCCCAGAATCCCAATTCGGCCTTGATTTCCCGTATAAATGCGCCACCTAATCAAACGGTCAACTCATTGCAGCAGCAACAGCTGCAACAGCAACAGCAGCAGCAGCAACAACAACGATTGCAAATGATAAACCATCAGCAATTCAATCAGCTGCAGCAGCAACTGGCGCAGCAACAACAACAGCAGCAGCAGCAACAACAGCAGCAGCAACAACAACAACAACAGCAGCAGCAACAGCATCCACAACAGCAGGTGAATCCTAATGCCAATACCAATATGTTGCCAACTGTTGGTAGTGCTGCTAATGTTCCAGCACTGCAGCAGCAGTCAGCGCCACAGCAGCAGCAACTACAACAGCAACAACAGCAGCAGCAGCAGCAACAGCAGCAGCAACAACAACAACAGCAGCAGCAGCAACAACAGCAGCAGCAACAGCCACAAGAGCAATCATCGTTACGTGAAAAAATCTGGACCGGCGTCCTCGAATGGGCGGAGAAGGCCAAAAACGATCAGCAAAAGATTCCTCATTCGCTGCAGTGCACCGTTTGCACTAACATTAAGGATGGCGAGCCTGAGATCAAAGCGGACAATTGGCCGCCCAAGCTACTTATGCAGCTAATGCCAAAGCATCTTGTGGGCAACATTGGAGGTCAGTTTCTCAAGGACTCCAAAATGGTGGTATTTCGTCCAGCGCCAGGCGAGGCTCTCGACGCTTTGGCCAAAATGATGACCACCGGTTATGCTGGCTGCGTTCACTTTTCGGCGCTGCCCAATACGCCCGCCTGCGACATCAAAGTGCTCATCCTGCTATATACGGCCGATCGCAATGCGTTCCTTGGCTTCATACCTAACAATCAGACCATGTTCGTGGAGCGCCTGCGCAAGGTGATACAGCAGAAGCAGTCGCACGGTAATATGCAGCAGCAGCAACAAATGCCGCCGCAGCAGCAAATGCAGCAAATGATGCAGCAGCAGGGCAAATCGCCTATGGAACTGCAACAGCAGCAACAACAGCAACAGCAGCAGCAACAACAAATGCAGCAGGACAATTCGCAGCAGCAACAGCCACATTACAATCAATATGCACAGCTCAATATGCAAATGGGCGGCGCGCCTGGGGGCAATGGAGGTGGCGGCATGCCCATGCAGCCCCAGATGCAAATGAACATGATGCAGCAGCAGCAACAACAGCAGCAGCGCATGCCATTGGGTGTGCCTGTAGCGAATCCCAACCTGCAACAGCAACTGCAACAACAGGTGCCGCAACAGCAACAGCAGCGCATGGTACGTCCTATGCTTGGCAACAACAATCCGGGACTACGGCAGCTACTACAGCATCAAACGCCCGGAAATCAATTTCGTCCCCAAATGGGCGGACAGCCAAATCAGATGGGCGCCGGCGGGCCCATGGTTGGCAATCGCAACTTTGACGATGGCAGCTATGATTTTATGTAAAATTTTAATATGTTCTAGTATATATACATAGATATACATTGTCGTTCAGTATCAGTATCAGTCTACCCCTTCTCCTCAACAAAACTTGTTTGTATATTGTCAAGTCTGTCTCTCCCTCTGGAGCTCTTCTCTCTAAAGACATTGTGTAATCAAAGACTCATATCGACGCATATACATATATCTATTTAATATAAATGATTTTATTTTAGTACGTGCCCATTCAAATACAACTGTATTAAATGCGTCTAAAGCAAATTGGTTTAAAATTCTAAATAGATGAGGTATATTCCGATGGGAATTTGAATGTATGCTTGCCGGTGGATCGCACCGATGGCAGTAGCCCGGCATTAGGTATTATGTTCCAGGACAGCGACAGAGTAACGTTCTTGTTATCCTTTAGACCGTTGCCATCGTCCCAGAAGTAATATTTGGTGTTCATGTTCTTGAAGTCGAGCACTGCATTATCGCCACGAAGAATGATTTTGTCCCAAAGTACAACCTGATTGAGTTGATTCGTTGCTGTTTCATATTCGGCCGTTAAATACAAAAACAATTGCTTCACATTCCAATTAAATATATTTGTTAGATTCGTCTCCAAATCGAACGTAACATATCCAAGATCGTGCTTCTGCCTAGATGCACCGTAATCGGGTACGTTTTTCACTAGCACTCGAACCGTTTTTATATTCGCATCAGTTCTATAATCCAAAAAAACTGTGGATATAAAACAGCAAAACGTTAAGCCGGCTAAAACGCTTAAAGTATAGGCAACCGTTGCATTTCCTCTAGTTAAAACCGTATGCATTTTGTTAAGTTTATTCAAGCAATGCAAGTGGACACGTAGTTTGCGTATGGAAAAGTATTTATGTATGTACGTGTAAGTATCGTTCATCTATCGCCGGGACTGGCGATTACAATCGATAACATCAAACAATTGAACAGCATACTTGAAAATAGTGATAAACGATAGTGATTCACGATAAACTCTAAAACGAACGATACAATTGCTTTCATTTTTATATTACCTGAATTTATTTGTATTTTGACAACTTCGATAAGTTGCTAAAGCTCGTTTATTTTTAAAAAATATATGAGAGCAGTATGCTGTTTATATCAATCAATATTACAGAAAAAATAAAAAAAAAAAAAAAAAAAAAAAGAAAAAAAAAAAATTTACAAACTAATATCATTTCTTAAGTGCTGGTATTTTTTAGTCAATCGAATCGTTTTTGAGACATTTTATGTTCACTTTTACTTAAACTTATTTTCAATTTATTTAAAATTTTAAAAACTAAACTCAAAGATATTATCCTATAGTTATCCTGAAGAACGCAGATAAAGTATTCCCTTTACGTTACGCATTACGTAGCGTAAGCAATAGGAGCCGACTGATTCATCTCTTACGTTGCCTACTAGTTCAATTCAATATCCGGGAATAATATGGCGATCCGAAACTGTGAATGACAGACTGTGAATTTTATAGTTGCTGAAAATTTTATTTATTGGCCAAAAATTTCAAACGGTAATACGCGAATCTATCGTAAAATTAATGGATAACATATGCCCTATACGCTATGCATGTTTTCATGTTTAAATGCAGTGTTAAATTAGTGAAAAATTGCATCGGAATAGCAGCGAAGAAAAATTTTCCCTTAGTTGCTTAATTTGCCTTCGTCGTCGTCCGCCTGCTATTCCACTTTGGCGTGCGTGTGATTGTGGTTTCGTTCAACTCAGTAGCGTTCTCTCGCTTGTGCACATACTGTGAATGCCGCTGACTGGCTGGTTGGCCATTGTTATCTCGCTTTGGCGCGACATTCGCTCGGTTTCGTTCGCTGTAAAATGTGTAAAGTGATTTTTTGTCTGCGCTCGTTTGGGGCGAAGTCGAAAATGGTTGAAAAAGTTTTATAAATAAAATATTGTAATTTTATATATACATCAATTGTAAATCATTTAAAATGCAGCGCGATCCTTGCATTTATTTTGTGTACATGCTACGATTATATAAAGCAGAAAACCACGCTATGTCAGCATCTAATCTGCCAATTGCGCATCGATTGGTCAACCACAAGGATAATCTTATATCTTTTATAGATATATTTTAAAATAATTTGTGCTTTTCCTCGACTATCTGCGGGTTTCTAATTTTTTTTATTATGTTACCATCGTGAATTGAGCAAACGGAAAATTAAATGAGTGTATGTATGTATGTATATATGATTATATACTACATATGTACAACGGCGAACGAATGAGTGTGCAATGCTGAAGAAGTGAAAGAATGCGCAGCGTTGCCATACGGTCGCGATCTCCCTATGCATGTGCATGAGAGTGTGTGCGGATGTGTGTATGAATGTGAATGTGCTTGTGTGTGTGCCTTTATATATTCACATATATATGTCTAATCTACCTCAATTCCTTAACAAAATCGATAAAAACGCAGCACGCTTTGTCTAAGAATATTACAAAATTACACGAAGTTGTGTTTGGCGTTTTTGTCAATGGCAAAAAGTAAAAAAAATATATAAAAAACCTGAAAATGTCAAATTCATTGAAGTAATTTATTATTTAATATTTTGTTAAAAATTCGTATTTGTACACGACAAGCACGCGTGAATTAATTTCAAAGGGAGCCCAATCGAGACTAAAATGAATAATGATGCGAAAAATCATGATGGCGATGACTTGAACTTGAATTTAAATAGCGTGGGTCCTGCGTATTTAAACAAAAACAAAGCAAAGACAACTGCAAAACCAACAGCAGCAGCAACAACAACAAGAACAACAACATCAAGTGCAGCAGCAACAACAACAGTAACAGTAGCAACACAAGTTAAAGCTAACAGCGCTGCAACTGCACAACGAATCGCAGCAGCAAAGAATAACAGCAACAACAACGTCAGACAGGTGAATTGTACCGGTCCGCGAATAGCAGCCGCCCGAACCTCTATAGCGGCTGCGCTCATTGCGAACAACATCAAGAATACGAACACCAACGCCAACAATAACAACAACGGCAGTAGCAGCAACAATAGCAAGAAGAAGCATGAGACGGCGCCTGTTGTTGCCAAGGATCTGACTAAGGCTACAACTGCAGCGACTGCAGCTGAGCTGTCCAAACTGAAGAGCAGCAACAACAACAGCAACCCTAGTGTCAGGTTAAAAGTGAACAGCAACAAAAGCAGCGCGTTAGCCACAGCCACTGCCACTGCCAACAATACTAACAACAACAACAACAACAATAATAATAACACCAGCAAAATGTCGAAAACGGCTGCCAGCAAAACAAACGCGCAAAGCGATGCGGCTGCAGCTGCGGCTGCATTTGTTACAGCTGGCACCACAACCACAGCTACAGCCACGCCTATGCCCGCCACTACAGCAACAATAGCAACCACAACAACAATAACAGCAGCAACAACAAGTGAAACGGCAACAATAAATGCGCCCATAGCAGCCGCTGTCGCTGCAAAATTTCGAGCGGCCATCGCCTCAGCGCCCGCTCCAGCACCTGCGCCCGCTTCCACGCCCAGCAGCTCCAAGAAGACGCGCGCTGCATATGCGGCGATCAAGCGGCAGGTAGTCATGCAGCAGCAGCAACAACAGCAGCAAGCGCCTTCGACTGGGGCACTTAGCTCAGCCGCTAGCAGCAAGGACTCTGCGCATTTGAAATTTGCAGCGACGACGTTGCTTATGGGAGCCGCTGCAGCTGCGGCGGATAGCAATGCCGGCGCTGGCGCTGCTGTAGGACTTGGTCTGACGCCGCAGACGAGCAGTTCGAAATCCACAGCTGTGGCTGTGCTCAAGAAGCTGAATCCTTCATTGGGCGCCATATCGAATGCCGCTGCCGCTGCTGCCGCCGCAGCAGCCGCTGCGAATCGAACGGCAGCCGCCGCCGCCTCGTCGTCGGCATCGTCCAACTCCTCGCCACTGTCGTCGTCGGTAGGCATTGTGAATGCTTTCTCCTCAGCCTTGCAGAACATCATCACGGATACGGATACGGATACCGAGTTCTATCCCCAGCCTGCCACCACAGATCTTTCCGAATCCGAGGAGGAGTCTGTCTCAGAGGTGAGTCTATGTGAAGCATCACAAAAGTATTTTATATATGTATATTATATCCTGCTGATAACTGAACTCAATTATTTGTTATTTATTGATTTGTGTGTATATGTGAAATCGTTGCTATTTTGATTTTAAGATGAAGGTTCAGTAAGTTGTTTAAACCAGCAACCAATTTAACGAGCTCAAAATCAATTATAGAACAGCTGATTTAGAGCGAAACTGAGATCACAAGTCTTATCCGTTACAAAATTTATAATCACTTATGATATTTTAATATTGTTTTCATTTAAGTTTAACCAAGTCAAATATACTATTGGCTAGGGCAAATAGAACACGTCATGAATTTACAGTTTATCATATTCATTTGTGATAAGATTAAATACCTTAATACAAGCTTCTTTGAATCTTTTAATATTTAAAACAATTCAGTTTTGGAAAATATTTAAATATTTACATTTCTTCTTGTCTACACAGAAATTTATTGGCTTATTTGATATATTAATATAATATCATAATATATGTACGTTCTAGTAATTTCCTATAGGTGCTATGCTAGCCTATTCTCGCATTTATACAACTATAAAACTTCTAATCTCTTCGAATTAAGTCCGCCTTCCGATCTCTTTCTCTCTCTCTCTTTTATCTTTGTTAATGGTGTAAAACCCGTTTCAAGTAACAATTCGGTATGACTCGATTTTAGACGTTTTCTTCGCTGTGCGATGCTTTGTGAATTATATTCGTTTATTCGTATTTTGTGTAAATACATACATACAAAAATCAGCTGTGCAGCTGCTGGTTTGTATTTGTGTTTGTGTACATTTCTTTGTCTGGCCTTTTGTGGATATAGCACAGCGTGTACATGCACCTATACATATGTACATGCATATATAGATGAAATTGTTGCCCACTTAGCCCAAAGGTCATTAGCCAATTCTTTAGGATTTTAAAATGAAACGCTTCTATAAAAATATTCGTTTTTCACCGTCTCGCAGTACTTTATTAATGAACTACATTCAGCATTGGTGTTGTTTTATATGCCGTTTAGTGGTGAACATCGCGTTGCGGCTGCAGGTTAATTTGACAGCGTTTAAATAGTCTGGCAACACCAAGCGACTGATGTTTTTGTTGTTTTTGGCGAGTGAAATCGTGTGTAAGAGCAATGGTGCAAAACTGCAAAAAATAAATAAAATAAACAAGAAAAAAAAAAACAATACAAGACACTTTAATAAAAATAAATAATATATGGTTAGGAGGTATGCTTATAAAATACTATTTATATCCAAAACTTTTTGCGGAAGGTCAATATATAATTTGTAGATGTAACTTGCAAAATATTTATGTAAATATTTATAATTTCCGTAAAAAAAATACATACGCACAGACGATTCACACGTTGCATACATATCTACATTCAGACACACTCACGCACTCCAACGCCCGAAACAATCTGAAGAAAAAAAACGCACGAGAAACAAAAAAAAAAGCATGTCGTGGCAGAGACGGCGATTGAACTCGTTTAGGTTCTCTTTATATACATACATATGTACATACTTATATTCTGTAAATACTTTACGTGTGTTATTTATTTGTATGTAAATAATACTATGTAACTAGCGTTGTATTGATCATTAAAGGTGACGTCCAATAATTATTGTCACTTGAACATACATACATATACTGTTTAGGCATGTATGTATGTATGTAGGTTCGGTTCATAAAGCACGGTTTCCCCTTAATTTTTAACTTTTTCAGTATATGTATATGTACATATGTATGTATGTACAAATACTTAGTATATAATATACATATATATATATATATATACATAAACATATGTATATGCTACGCAGTGCACTGAATGGAAATGACTCATGCGATTTTTAAAATTCCAAAGAAACCGTTTCCTTGCCTCACCCCTTTGACTTGCAAATTTGTAATAAAAAACCAGCAAGCTGGCCAGCATACGCACACGCACACACGTACATACACACAGGCCAATACAAGCATTTAATTTCGCATGAGTATTGGCGTTTAAAGTGCAAAATGGAAATGGTAATGAATGAAAGCAAAAAGCACACTGGCAATAATAATTTGTTGGTTTTGTTTTCCTTATTATTTGTGCTGCCACTGCCACATCGAAATCTGGCAACTCTGGTTGTAAGAAGATTCGCCGCATATTTTCAAACTATTTTATGCACATGCATATGTGTATGTAAAGAAGAGAAAGGAAAAGGAAATCGAAATTTCTATTGAACAAAACTTTAGTGTGCGTGCTAGGGTAAATTCAAATTCAATTTAATAGTACGCCTTGTAAATATAATCATATTTCCAGATCTTTGACAATTAAAATAACTCAAAAAATTCTTGTTCTAATTGCATTTAATATCTGTCAACTACTCATATCACCCAAGAATGGTTAAATTGTCATTTTTTGATAATATAATGCGTTGTGCTTCAGTTAAAGATTTGCTACGGCGTGCAAGAACCACCATGGACTTTGTGTTGCAGTCCTTTGCTCAAGTAATATCAATATTTGTGTTTCGTTGCGTTCAACCCAAACAAATATCAAGCCGCCAAGCGTCAATGAAAGATTGTGCTGGTTATTAATTAGCAACATACATGCATTTTCATTCGTTTCAGTTATTTTTATTATTGTACGTCTCTTACGTTTCTCTTTATTTGTAGATCCTATTGGCATTCTTGTGTTTAAGGCCAGATCTCTTGGTAAGTTTCGCGTTATAAGTGCCTTTAAAACAACCATAATCGAAGCGCAGCAGAATTAGTTTGCAATTTATTCATCGATAAGTGCAAATTATTAGCCATACTTACCCCAACTAAACTAAACCAATCAAATTTTAACCAACTGATTTGAAGGCGTAGAGCCAATTGATTGGAAATAATAATTTGGCCAACACAATTTACAATTTACGAACGACATTTATATTTTGGACTTTAAGCAAATGCAAAAACTGGGTTAATTTTAACAATAATAATAATAGTAATTGTAATAATAATACCATCAACAATAATACTACTACTATCACCACTTCGATTCTGTAACAACACACAAAACAACATATTGCTGGCCTTAGACAACAAGAATGTGCTCTTTAAGTGCTCCACTGAATAGTTCTGCCTTTATTACTTCCAGCAATTTTCAGCAACCTTCTTTACTCACCTTTTAACTGATAAGCTCGAATATATATGTTTATATATATTTAATCCGTATAGAACAAACTAATAATACAAATGCTACGTTTGTTTCCAGGATGACATAGCCGAGTCTGATCACGATAGCTGTCCTCATGAGGAGGGCGACGCGCGAGAAGACGATGATGAGACGGAAGAGGAATCTGAGGATTCAGATGAGTCTGAAGGTGATGACGAGGAAGAAGATGAAGAGATTGGTAAGCATATAAAAAAAACCATATGAATTAAATATCAATGTAATATTGTTGACCAATCCACAGACGTACTGCAAGATAACGATGCCGACGATGAGGACATCGACGAAGAGGATGATGAGGAGGATGCGCCAGAGGTAAAGAACTTTTTGCTTGAGCCCAACAACAAGCGGTCGAGCAATCTCACGGCCCTACTGGAGGCAGCCGCTAACGAGAAGGCGCCCGTTCTCCGGCACGCCACGCACGCGATCGACGAGACCAAGCAGGCGCTAACAAAAATGCGCTGTGCCAATAGTCCACGCGACAAGAAGTGAGTAACATCAATAAGACCCATAGATTAACAGCTATCCCATGTGGGATTGTGTGCATACGTTTCCTAAATTGGTGTGTAACTTTCAACTGAAATTTACAGTAGTGCTTTCTCGCGCAGCCTTGTCAACGCCTGCGCGGACAATGATGTGAACACTGTGAAACGGTTGCTGTGCAAAGGCAACTTGAACGAAGCAACTGCGTCCACGGACGAGGGCGAGTCATTGTTGTCGATGGCCTGCTCGGCAGGATACTATGAGTTGGCACAGGTATGTATTAAATATGATAAAAATGAATACACCAATTAAAATATAGACTATAAATATATCATCAGTAGATTTCTTTCAAGCTCCCAAAAGATCTTATATAAACATGTCATGAATTCTAAAAAATTTAAGTTTCTATTAACTAAAAATCTTCCTGACCACGCTGTGTGGCAATATCATTTCTAATGTGTAGTGGCAACATCATATTGAACAGATTTGCAATTTTGTCATCATCAAACTATCGATATTTCGATAAAGTACTAGAAATGGCTGAGCCATAAAAGAAATCTAAATTATTTTAGTATCAAGAAGAACGCGATTTAAGGCTTATATTGAATTTTGTTTTAAGGTATAATCTAAATAACCTAAAAAACTGTAACGCGAGTTAAGACTTATATTGAATTTTGTTTTAAGGTATAATCTAAATAATCTAAAAAACTGTAATTATTGTTTAAAATAGGTTCTGCTAGCTATGTCAGCTGCCCAAGTCGAAGACAAGGGACAAAAAGACTCCACCCCACTAATGGAGGCTGCATCTGCCGGACATTTAGATATTGTTAAGCTGCTGCTTAGTCACAATGCTGATGTAAATGCGCATTGTGCAACTGGTAATACACCGTTAATGTTTGCGTGTGCTGGTGGCCAGGTGGAGGTTGTGAAAGTACTGCTTAAACATGGCGCTAACGTTGAGGAGCAAAACGAAAATGGACACACACCGTTGATGGAGGCTGCGTCTGCGGGTCACGTCGAAGTAGCTAAGGTAATAATTTTGAAACATTGATTTATGCTCATTATATTTAAATTACATGTTTAAAATAGCAAGTGATTAGAATCCGAGATTTGATTATTTTGTGGGCCAGTTTCGAGAATCGAGTTACTGATTCTGAAATTTTGAAACGCAAATATCATGATTTAGTTTGATCTTATCTGATGCATGAATTGTTATTATTGTACTTGTTTGAGTTTTGTTTATACAACGATTAATTCGAAATGATTATATTGCAGGTACTGCTTGAACATGGTGCCGGCATTAACACCCACTCGAATGAGTTTAAGGAAAGTGCGCTCACATTAGCCTGCTATAAGGGTCATCTAGATATGGTACGCTTTCTGTTACAAGCTGGCGCAGATCAGGAGCATAAAACCGATGAGATGCACACAGCACTAATGGAGGCTTCAATGGATGGACACGTAGAGGTGGCGCGCCTATTGTTAGACTCTGGAGCGCAAGTTAACATGCCAACTGATTCATTTGAGTCTCCCCTTACGCTGGCTGCCTGTGGTGGTCATGTGGAGCTTGCAACACTGTTAATTGAGCGCGGTGCCAATATTGAGGAGGTCAACGATGAGGGATACACACCTCTGATGGAGGCGGCACGTGAAGGACATGAGGAAATGGTGGCTCTGTTGCTTGCCAAGGGAGCCAATATTAATGCCACCACTGAGGAAACTCAGGAAACTGCCCTTACACTTGCCTGTTGTGGTGGTTTTAGTGAAGTGGCCGCTTTCCTAATAAACGGAGGCGCTAATTTAGAGCTAGGCGCCTCCACGCCCCTAATGGAAGCCGCACAGGAAGGTCACACAGATTTGGTACGATTCTTGCTGCAGAACAAGGCAAACGTTCATGCGGAGACGCAAACCGGAGATACAGCATTAACTCATGCCTGCGAGAACGGGCATACGGATGCTGCCGGTGTGCTCTTATCGTATGGTGCCGAACTGGAGCACGAATCGGAAGGCGGGCGAACACCACTTATGAAGGCTTGTCGTGCTGGTCATTTGTGCACCGTAAAATTCCTTATTCAAAAAGGCGCCAATGTAAACAAGCAGACGACCAGCAATGATCACACTCCGCTTTCGCTGGCGTGTGCTGGTGGGCATCAGTCAGTGGTTGAATTGCTGCTCAAAAACAATGCCAATCCCTTTCACAAGCTCAAGGATAACAGCACTATGCTGATCGAGGCCTCAAAGGGCGGTCACACACGTGTTGTAGAGCTGCTCTTTCGGTACCCCCACATTTCACCCACAGAACTGTCTCCTGGCACAAGCGCGCAGTCAGTTAATCACATGCGTCAACAAAAGTTGCTGCAGCAGCAGATACAGCACCAGATGCAAATGCAACAGTTGAATGCCCCTCCTGGCCTGCACGAGGTGTCCGAGGCAGCACGTGCCAACAACCAGCAACTGTTATATCAGCAGCAATTCACCGGAAATGGCCCTAGCAATATTGTGGCCCTGGGTACTGGTGATTTTCTGGATGCCGGCGAGCTTCAGCTGACGGCGGCCTCTGCTGCTAGCATTGCCGACGCGGCAGCCACAGAGGAATATGTCTCTACAATGGGTGGCGCCAGTGGCGGTGGCATTGATTTGACCACGCTGAGCGCACAACAGCAGGAGGGCCTTATTGCCAAATCACGGCTGTTTCACTTGCAGCCGGGATTTGAGCAACATCAGCAAACGACACTGCCGCCAACTGGTGCCCAGTTAGTGCCTTGCAAGCACTATGACATGGATCACATCAACTCCCTAACACCTCCACAAAAGGCTCCACCAGCGCCACCTGTTCTTATGCACACCGTTTGCCAACAACCCGTACTGCAGCAGCAACAACAACAGCAACCAAAGCTCAAGGGACTTGGGTCGCGCAAGAATCGTCAGCAAGCTTTAAGCGAGAAGACAACTGACTCGCCACTGGAAGGAATTGATTTGCCGCAGGAGCAGATACGCTCCCAACCGCTGGGCGAAGACGAGAAGCAACAACAGCAGCAGATATCCTGTTCTGCAGATGAACTGCGTTTGCAGAGAAGGCGAGGCTTCGATACGCCCGGCGATGGTAACGATGGCAGCGATGCAGCATTGGAAACAAGTCAAAAAGGTAAATGCACACGGACATACGCCACAATTACCATATGCTCAACAATCTATATATTTTTTAGTTGCCGCAGCCAGTGATAGCAATCAGAATTCACTAACTGCAAGCGAAAACGGCTCTCAAATTCCAGCGGTAAGAAAGAGATGATTTATAATTGTGTTCATTATTAATGTGTGCAATGTTTTTATTCCAGCAGCTCAATACCAGTGGCTCTAGCGCCATCACCCACTCCTCGGAAGTGCTGCAGAGCACCGCAATTAGCGATCGACCCAAGGTCAAAGCCAGCAATAAGAACAATCGTAAGCAGGCGGCCACATTGGCAGCGCGGGTGTCTACAGCAACTGGACAGCAGGGCCAGAATCAAATGGTCTCCTTCTTCAACAATTTGGTAAGCATTTGTACATACATTTAATTATTCGGTATCATGTCAATCGAAGCCAACAAAAACAAAAACAAATTGATCGTTTTTGAAAATTGATTGTGGCTTAGTTTATTTTTTGTTTTCATACAAATTACATGTTGCTTAAAAACTTACACTTACCCAATGAAATCTTTCTATAAATAATAGCAATTGCAACAGCAAAAGGAACTTCAATTGCAACAACAAATGCAGCAGACGCAGCTCAAATTCCAGCAACATCTGCAGTTGCATCATCATCAGCAGCGCGCCGCGTCTCTTGTGGACTACTCAAATTCTCCGGCCTCACCGATGGCTTCCCCAACCGGATGTGGCGGCAACAGCTTTGCCGAACAGCAACCGCCCATGGAAGGTGCCAGCAGTGAAGTGCTGCATCAAAAGTCTGCCATGGAGGACTTTCGAGGTCTGCTTGAAACGGCGGTTAATGAGTCAATGAGCGCTCAATCGTTGGTCCGCTTCAATGACAAACTGGCCAGTGCTTCGCAGTTAAAGTTCTTTAAGGAGGGCTGGCAGATGCACAATTTTTTTGGCGAACAGCCCAAGTCACCTACTGAAACGCCGCCCGAAATGGAGGAGACGATCATGTCGCCAAATATGGAGCGGGTTGAGAACCGGGCTGAAATGAAGAATCTGGCAACACTCTGCTCCGCAGCAGCCATGGCCGCCCAGGTAACAGCGACGAATAAGGAAATCGATGAAATTGTCACCGACATCGAAAGTGAGGAAGGGGAGGCTGACGGCGAAGAAAATACCTTGCCACCGGAACCTATTGAGCTCACGGATACTATAATAGAGGAGGAGGTCGTTGATGATGACGATGATGATGATGAAGATGATCCGGACACCCAAAGTGGAGAAATTGATAAGTTGAACTACGATGATGATGATGCAGATGCGGAAGTTGACTACATAGACGAAGATGATGGCAACGATGATGACGACGGAGGCGATGACGACGACGAAGACGATGAGTTCTTCTTGGATGTCAATGTTGCCGTCGGGGATCAGACCGACACCAACTCTAAAAGTGGGACAGCTCTGCGGCCAAAATTGCGCAAAATGTCAACAAGACTGGAGAACTTATCATTATGCGATTTTCGTCAGGATTTGCCCAATTCTGACCTAATACATATGCTGCCCCTTAAGGCCGCGGCCGTCAACAATGCTGCTCTGAACACTCTCCTCCAGCAACAGCTGGCAGCAGCAGTGCATGCCAAGGCCCACAGCCAACAACAGCAGAACGCTGAACAGTGTGGTAAGTGCTAACAAATAATTTCATACAAGAATTGTGTAACGAATTAGAATTGAATTCATGACAACAGATGATGGAACACCTGCGGCTGCAGCTGGGGAGCTGTACGGTGGCCTCGACCATTTTGCCAGTGATGGAGCTGATGGAGGACAATATGAAATAACTGGTGAAATGGAGGACATATTCCTGGTAATGAGACATTGCATATCCAGTGTCTGAAAATATGATGACTAAATCTGTTTTCAACTTGGTATTTTGTAGGAGCTGGCCAGCAATCTGCAATGTCCAGAACTCGCAGAGTTCAGCCTTAATCAGATGTGCAAGGGCAGGTTCTCCGGCCATTGGTCTCAGTCGTCTGGCAAATGGAGTGGACAGGAGCAGCTATTGGCAGCAGCAGCCGCTTCACAGAGCCCACAGATATTGTTAAATGCCGGCGATGCTACAGCGGATGCGCAACAGCAGCGTCAGGCGAATCTCGTTCTCCTGGACTATCCCATCCAGGCTCAGCAAGCACTGCAACAGCGTTTGCTTGACGCTGATGATCTGCAGAATATGCAGGTAAGGCTGCATGATTATGAATGATTAACTATTGAAATTAATATATAGAATATGTTTCATTCTGAACAGCACCAGCAGACATCTGTTGCATTACTACCATTCTCTGCAGACAGTGCCGCAGCTGGTGTTGCCACACAGCAGCAGCAACAGGTTCACTCAACACTGCCCAACAATGCCGAGTTTCAGGTGCAGCATCAACAGCAGCAAGCATCATCGGAAGGTGATCCGGAGTTAAAGCAGCAGTTGCAACAACTGCAGCAGCAACACTCAAATGCACGCATTATTAAAGCCGTTGCAGCGGCAACCGGCCAACAGCAACAGCAACTCCAGCAGCCTTCTGCCAACTTCGTCTACAATGTGGAGAGCGGGGACAAAAACGCACCGCCAGTTCAGTTCTTGTTCCAGCTACCGCCGGTCATGACACATCAACCGCAGCAGCAACAACAACAGCCACAACAGCAGCAGCAACAGCAGCCTCCGATATCTGAGCAACCAACAGATCTTCAGATGCATCAACAGCAGTTACTGCAATGTGACCAAAAGCAACAGCATATGTTCCAGCAACGCGCCGATCGATTAATCCAGCAGCAACAGCAGCGACCGCCCACACAAAACGAATTGGAGCAGGTGGCGCAAGAGTTGCTGCTGCAGCAGCGGCAATCACCTGCCGTCGGTTCAGTTGCTGGAGTCCAGGCGATGCCCATAACACAGAGCCTAAAGCAGAAGCACTTAAATTTGCAAGAGCAGCTCTTGATGCATCCACCACCACAAATGCAGGCACCCACGTGTGTGCAGCACCAGGTATGTGTCCCTAAACTAGGATTCTCTTGATCCATTATAATAAATGTATTCGCTCGAATTTACAGGTGTCCACACAGACTCATGCAGGCTCTGTTATTGTGCCCCAGCAATTCACTCAATTTGCACTTCAACAACAGCAACAACAGCAGCAACAGCAAGCCCCACAACAGCAGCAGCAGCAGCAAAATGAGCTATCAATTTGGCCAATGTCCACGCCCAATGCACCGGCAGTGGGTGCAGCAACTGGTGCAACCAAATCAATGCCCGGGGGCATTGCCAAGAAGGCAATTGACAAGCAATCTCGAAAGGATCGACGCTGTTCCGGATTTCGTCAAACACCAGCTGGTAGTCAAGGTAAATATCGTATAAGGCTATTTGCTAACCACTGCCAAGACACTCTGTTAATTGTACAATATTCTCTTGATCGAACAGTCAACACTAATCAACATCAGCAGCCGGTGACAACAGCAACGGCGGCGGCAGCAGCTGCAGCAGCAGCAGCGGCGGCAGCCCAGCAACAGGCACAACTACAAAATCAACTGGCTGTTGCTGCCGCTGCAGCCGTCGATAAAACTATTGAGATCGACTCGGAAACGGAGTCCAATCATGATACGGCTTTAACGCTGGCTTGCGCTGGTGGACATGAGGAGTTGGTTGAGCTGCTGATCAGTCGAGGTGCGAATATCGAGCATCGCGACAAGAAGGGTTTCACGCCTCTGATACTGGCCGCCACCGCGGGTCACGAGAAGGTCGTGGAAATTCTGCTCAAGAATAATGCAGAGTTGGAAGCGCAATCTGAACGCACCAAGGACACACCGTTATCATTGGCGTGCTCGGGTGGACGGTATGAGGTTGTCGAGCTGCTGCTAGGCGTTGGCTCAAATAAGGAGCATCGCAATGTATCGGACTATACGCCACTGAGTTTGGCCGCCAGCGGCGGATATGTGAATATTATTAAGCTGCTGCTCAATCACGGCGCCGAGATCAATTCCCGTACTGGCAGCAAACTGGGAATTTCGCCGCTAATGTTGGCTGCCATGAATGGGCATACGGCAGCAGTTAAGCTTCTTCTGGATCAGGGATCTGATATCAACGCACAGATTGAGACAAATCGCAATACAGCCCTCACGCTCGCCTGCTTCCAAGGGCGTCATGAGGTTGTCAGTTTACTGCTCGATCGTCGCGCAAATGTCGAGCATCGAGCTAAGACCGGCCTAACGCCCCTCATGGAGGCCGCATCTGGTGGCTACATTGAGGTGGGGCGTGTACTGCTTGATAAAGGAGCCGATGTGAACGCGGCGCCAGTGCCCACGTCTAGGGATACGGCACTCACTATTGCCGCCGACAAGGGACACCAAAAGTTTGTGGAACTGTTGTTGTCGCGTGGTGCCAGTGTGGAGGTGAAGAACAAGAAGGGCAATTCGCCTTTATGGCTGGCAGCACACGGTGGTCACTTGAGTGTGGTAGAGCTGCTGTACAATCACAATGCAGACATTGATTCCCAGGACAATCGACGCGTTTCCTGTCTGATGGCCGCTTACCGCAAAGGTCACACAAAGATTGTGAAATGGATGGTACAGTACGTGTCCCAGTTTCCGTCGGACCAGGAAATGATCCGCTTCATCGGCACCATTAGCGACAAGGAGCTGATTGAGAAATGCTACGATTGTATGAAAATACTGCGAGCCGCCAAAGAAGCACAGGCGGTCAAGGCTAACAAGAATGCATCCATATTGCTGGAAGAGCTCGACCTGGAGCGTACGCGCGAGGAGAGTCGCAAGGCGGCCGCTGCTCGTCGTCGTGAGCGCAAAAAGAAGAAGAAAATGGAAAAGAAAGAGGAGAAACGACGCCAACAGCAGGTCAGCAATGGACCGAACGCCGGAGACGACGATCAGCAAGGCGACGACGACGATGCCAGCGACAATGAAAAGGACGACGACACTGACAAGGAGGATGATGATGAGGAAGCGCCGCCTGCACGCGAAGAAGGCGATTCAGGCATTGATCAGGGCTCCTGCTCCAGTGGCGATACAAAAGCCGCACGTGTCACGTCTAGCCAGGCGGACACTGCCAATGTCAACGGTGGCAGTGGCAACACCTCAGCCAAAAAGACTAAAAAGCAACAGCAGAAAAACAAATCCCAACAACAAATTCCACCCAACAACGAAGCAGCCGCCTCAACTCCAGCCGTGGCACCAGTGGCGTCTACGCCCAACGCAAAGAATGGCGCTGCGATTAAAAAGGCGACCACTACGGAAAGCTCCAAAGTGCCCTCCGGTGGCAGTCAGCCATCAGCTGGTCAGCAAGTAAAGCGCCAGGCGGATACCAAAAAGGAGGAACCCGCTGTCACAACAGCAGCAGCAGCAACCTTACCTGCAGCAGCTATTCCTACTGCCAATAGTAGCAAGAAAGCGGCCAAGGAAACGGGTAGCAACAAGCGAGAGAAGGAAAATCTGGCACCGAAGGAGACAATACCAGCGCCAAAGCCCCAAACACCTGGATCGGGCAGCAAGCTGCTGCCGGTTAGCAATGAGTCCGTCAGCAACATTGCAACTCGGAAGGATGCCGGAAAGTCAGCGGAAGTCAAGTCTGTGTCTGGCTCTGCTCCTCAGGCCAAGCGCAGCGAAATCGACGGCTGGAAGGAGGTTGTGCGGAAGAGCAGCGCTCAGCAAATGACAGTGGTTGGCAGTGCAGCTGGTGGTGCTTCCTCGATTGGAGCTGGCGGCGCTAGCAGCGCCAACCTGACACCGAACAATTCGACAACCAGCGTGAACAGCGGCAGTGTGGGTCAGCACCATCACTCGGTAAGCAGTTCTAGTGCCAGCTCGCTGGCCACCTCCGCGCCAGAGATGACCTGCAAAAAGGTTCAGGTGCCGGTGAATGCCATATCGCGAGTGATTGGACGCGCCGGGAGCAACATCAACGCAATTCGTGCCAAAACGGGCGCTCACATCGAGGTTGAGAAGCAGGGTAAAAATCAGTCGGAGCGCAGCATTACCATTAAGGGCTTGGCCGACGCCACCAAGCAGGCGCATTTGCTGATCGTGTCGCTTATCAAGGATCCCGATGTAGACATCTTGCAGATGTTGCCACGCATCAACAGCAGCATCAAGGCCGGCAACTCAGTGCCACCAGTGAGTGCAACTAGCAGCAGCGGAGCCACTCAAATGTCTGTTGGCACTTGGGATAATCGGACGGCTGCCGCGGCTGTATCGAGCACAACGGCTACGGGTAACTATTCCTCTGCTGCATCCACAACATCCACATCGTCGAGCTCCTCGGCCGGTTCAGCGCCGGCCGTCGCTTATAGTAGCGGTCAGGGTCAAAATGCCAAGCAGTTGCAACAGGCGCCTGCCAGCGGTGCTAAGGCGTCAAGTGCACGCGGTGGTGCATCCAAATCGAATGCCGCAGGCGGCAAAGCGTCCAGCTCAACGCGGGGCCAGAGCAGCCGGGCATACAGTAGTACCCAGCCGCAATCTGCACGTGGAGGTGTATCCACTTCGTCCAGCTCCAATGGCGTGGCTTCCACATCATCTTCGAAAACAAAACAGGAAAATGGCAATTCGCTCAAGTTAATAACTACGTTTACTAATCAGAAGAGCTCCTCGGCTGCAGCACAAGGAAAGTCCACACAAAGCTTTGCCATGAAGGTAGCGCCAGGTGCAGCACAGTCGCCCAAGAAACTGGATGCACCTGGCATCGGTGGGCGCAGCAGTGGTGGTGTGGTTGTTGCGCCCTTCGGGCGTGGCAAGCCTGTGGGCGGCGCAGCTGCAGCTATTTCGCAGCTGGGCAACAGTAACAACAACACATTGGCTGGACCAATTGGCACCTTCAACGTGGCCGATGTGGCCGCAGTTAATGCTGCCGCAGCGGCGGCTGCAGCCAGCAACAGTAACAGCAGCAACAACAATAACAATGCTAGCAACAGCAATGGAAAGCCTCATGTAGTAACGCCTATTGCGCCACCCAGCAAGCGAATCACCTCGCCCGTACCACAGAATCTGCAGCAGCAACAACAGCAACAGCAGCAGCAACAAAACCAGCAGCAACAATTGCCACAGCAGCAGCAGCAGTCGTCTCAACTGCATCAGCTCCAACAACAAGGGCATCAGCAGCCAACTCAAGCGAACAACAACCAACAGAATTTGGTCATCAATACGAACGTATTGAACGATATGATGACCACCGATAGCTTCAGTGCTCAACTGGCTGCGAAACTGTCCAGTGCATATTCCCTGTTCAGCGATTACCAGCAATCGCAGTGGGGTAAACTGGCTGTGGATGGAAATGCTGGCGGTGCTACAGCCGGCACAGGCAATGCTACTGGCTGCGGTTTGAATGCCATGGTGGGCGATGTGTTGCCACAGGCTGATGCCTCCAAGGCGCCGGGCTACAATCGCAACATACTCAGCTCTCCTGTGGGCAGCTCAAAAGCCTCCTCGAATCATTCAACCTCGCCGCCGGTGGGCAATGCAGCGATGCCAATGCAACAGCAGCCTCCGAGCAGCCAACAGAGCGTGCAGCAGGCACTCAACATAATCACCAGTGGAGCTGGGGTCAGCGCAACAGCAGCCAGATCACCATTGGTGGCCGAGCCTACAGCAGGCGCCAACGGAGTTGCTTCATCTGGAGTGGTAACTGTCAATGGCACCCAGAGTCACGGAGATAGCACCAACGCGGCAGCCGCTCACTCACCTGGCGTCATCAAGCCCCCAACAGCACCAATTCAGAGGCCTTCGATCCCTATGCAAATGCAATCCGCACCAGAGTCTGCATCTGGCAGCAATTTTGGAACGGTGCCCGCTTTAGCAGCAGCAGCTGCAATTGCCAATGCAGCAATGATTGATCGCCAGGTCCAGGATATGCAGCGTCTGCAGCGTCTTTATGACAAAGTGGGGACGCCTCAGCAGCCGCATAACTATCCAATGGAACCTTCAAGTCTCCACCATATGGTCGATGGCATCATGCGACTGAATCCGCGAGCAACTGTCTTCGGTCAAGGCAACAAGGCGCCGCCACAGCAACAACCTAGTGGCAACAATCAGGCGCCAAGCGCGCAACAGTCCAATATGTTTGCCAATCAGGGCCGGCAGGCGCCTGGCGCACGCCAGCAGCCCGTGGGCGGTGCAGCTGCTGTGGCACAGCAGCGGTGGTATGGTGGCGCCTTAGAGTATCCAGCTTACAGTGGACGCGACATGCTGCATTTGGAGAATGGCGGCGGCCTAGCCGGCTTGAGCTCACCATCTGCCATGTCACCCAACCATGATGACATACGCAAGATGCCGCGCCCCATTGGCACCGAGCGCGCAGCAGCCTCCTGGAAGTATAACAACTACAATGTGGCCGCCACTGCGCTTAACATGGATGAGGCTTTGGTAAATATGCATGTGCCATGGGCGAATGAGCACAAGGCGCAGCCACCAGGCTTACAGCAGCAACAGCAACCGCAGCAACCACCCAATTGGCTGAAGCAGCCATATAGGCCATACAACAATGGGCCCTATCCGCAGCACGAGCCGATGAACGTAAGATATTCTTCACAAACAAAGAAATACCAAAACAATAAATATTTTTAAATTAATTTTTGCCCACATTTAGATGCCTATGGACTATCACAACATGCAGCAGCAGCCGCCACCGCCACCTCCGCAGCAGCAACAACAGCATGTGAATCTAATACCGCCGTCGTACGTCTTTCAGCATTTCGCTCACGGCGCTGACGATGTGTCCTCACATTTGCCCAACAAAGTGGAGCCTTGGGAACACCATGATAAACACGTAAGTGTAATCAACCTAAGCCAACCAATTTCATTCTGATCGGGTTTCTGTATATTTATATATATACAGCAGCCCTGGGCAAACTATACCACGAACTGGTCAAACTGATGCGCCAGCGAAAAGGATGCAGCGGCCAGTGAATGGACATCGGGCTAGCATGCTGCAACGAACTGTGTCAGATCGGATTGTATCTGATCAAATCTTATCGGATTGGACTATATATAAAACAAGGAAAAGTCGTTGCCAATACACATGAAAGGAAAGCACAGCAATATAATACCGGGCAAAGTCGTCGTGAAAATGTAAATGCCAATTGTTGGCTCGATTGTCTTTTCACATTTTCTGGGCGCCTTCACGGAAAGAAACACTTCATACTCTCACTATATACAGAACACATACACGTACAACTACACGCCCCCACACATAGGTATACACACAATTACACATAAACACAAATTAATAATCAGCTGACTTTCAAATTCAGTGAAGCATAGAAAACCCTTGGCCTCGTTAATTACTAGTTTACAATTTAAGTTTTCATTACCTCGAGCAACTATTTAAATTTACAGGTAACTTAATTTGGCAAAAAAAAAAAAAAAACGTACGATTAGAACAACAAGAACAACCGGCTCATAATAACCCCCTCCTGCCTTTATATAGACACACACACACACTCTCTCTCTCGCATACACTCGCAGATCAGGCTCGTACATCTACTGAATACACGCACGAAAATATATATATGTATATATATATAAATATGTATATGTATAAAGATATATATATGTATATATGTATATATATATATACATCCGATAAACAAAAATCATAGAAAAATTATATATTATTTATTTTAAATGTAATTTGAATAATTTGATATTCCTTGAAGTAAACAAATGTATAACTTATATTATTTCGTGTGTCCAAGCTCTAAATTGGTCGAAAAAAATGTGATGAAGATAAGGCCAACACACATTTAATTTTAAGCTAGTACTACTCAGTCATATGAAATGAAAATTAAAATTAAAATGAAATTTGAGAAATTTGAACACATATAGCGAGCATCTACACAAACACACCCTTACACATACATGTGGAATATACATAAATACATGCCTAGTTAATATTATATAATAAAATCATCTCGTTTTGAATTACTAAACAGTAAATCTAGGCGCGCACTTTCTTTGTTTTAAAAAAAGTCAACTTCTTGATAAGGCGACAGGTTGAACTTGTTGTTAGGTCCTAGTTAGAGCCGCAGACTGCGTAAAAAAATGAAAAACGATACTAAAAGCAATAAGATACGCTTGCAGCAACAATAACAGCAAAATTACTTAAATGCTATAAATTACACATGCACAAGCATTAAACAGATTAAACAGATACTTACAACTACCTACACTAAACTGTTAAAACATTTTGCGAAAATTCTACGAAAAAAAAAAAAATTAAGCAAATACATAAACAATTACTTACGTGTTTAGCTAAGAACAAATTACACACATATACACACACATAAAACTTACACACCTTTATACAAAGGGAGAAACCCAAAATTTTAGATATGTTCTTTTGTTTGTATGACATTTTGTGTTGTAATTTTGGAGTATTCTTTGGTTCTCGTCAGATTGCATAGGGAACGGATACTAAAAATGTAGCTAGTAGAAATTCAAATTGCTTAATTAACTTAACGTAAAACAAACAAAGGCATACAATTTAATATTCCATTTAAAGAAAGATAAAAACAAAAACAATCTACTTTTCAAATGCATAAACGACGTAAAAGATTAATGGCTTGCCGACTTTTAAATGCTTATCCGACACACACTACGAGTAGAAGGTCTTAGAGATAGAGCACAACAATACATAGCATAGAATGTGTTTCCACAAATAATACAAAAGAAAGAACAACAAAAACCACAAAATATGTAAAAATACACTTGATAAACAAACGAAAACAAAAACAAATACTTGATGAATGATGATGAGCAACGCGGTCGCTGATTGTCCAAAACCGTGCCGTGTTGCAATAATTGCTTTGTAAAATGAATAATATATATCTATAATATATATAAAATATATATATACACACATATATATATGTATTCAAAGACAAACCACATACGCGTATACATATGTGTGCGTATGTAAACAAGTTTGCGCTACATTGCCTATACACTTGCATACAAACACAGACAATTGAAACAAAAACAAAATGATGAAAACGATGATATGAAATTACCTTTAACTGCGTTAAAGCCTAAATAATCTAATAGAATAAAACAGAAAATAATCGATATAACTTTTTTTTTTGCCTGTTTGGTTTGTTTTGTTTCAAACATTGTTTTAGCTGCAAGCAAATTATGTAATGAATGCAAAATGCAAGGATTCGTTGATGAAAAACAAACAAAAATGTCACACACCGCACCCATAAATACATATGCATACATATGAACACAAACACTGACACACACGTACACACTAGACGGATCATAAAATTAAAAAATGAAATCAAGCAAAGCTGAGTAAATAGCTGCTTGTGCCGAAAACAGCCGTTATTTAGATTCTTTATCGACAGCAAAGCAGAATAATATAGATTTTTTTCATGCGAAAAAAAATATGAAAAATGAAATTCATAGATTTATTAATTTAAAATTTAAAAATACACACAAAGTACTTCAAATATGAATTATTTTGAAGTATGCATGCAGAAAACAAAAACTAAAAATAAAATTAAAAAAAAAACTACATACATATATGATATACATACATACTATACGGATTATTATTACTCTTATAATTATTATTGTATTGAAGGAAAAATATAAGAACATTAAACAGCATAAATAAAAAATACTTGATTTTTTTTTTGTTTTTCGGGGTTTGTGACCATTTATTATGACTTTTAGAAAGTTTTGAACAGTTAAATTGTCATTAACGGGAGCTGCTTATACGAATGGCTCAATTGTGAACTCAACCACTGAACAGGGAGTTGTTAACTCGAAGGCCTGAAGCACGCTCGGATGCAGCACTCCAATTCTGCCGATGACGGCGTCGTTGTACATGACATTCGCGCATCGCCCGGGGAAGTAGCTGGGATCTGTTCCGAGCAAATGGTATTAGTTAGTTTCTGAGCATCGAATTTCTGTTCAACTCTCACCTTCAGTTGCCTGGAGATAGTAGCCCTTGTCGGCGCCGCCCGTCTTCCAGGGCACAGAGAGCACCTGCATGACACGATCCAACAGCCCGTGAACCACCTCAAATCCGGCGCTCTTGTTGCAGTTAACCGCACACAGGCGTCGCTCGTTGCGAGCACCAACCTCTGCACCTTCGTCAGCCAGCACCACATCGCTAATCTCGAATAGTTTCATTGGCAGCGGCATCTTACGATTTGCCACCAGAGTTTTTAACAAGCCCGGCAGCAAGGTGGTGCGCACCACTTGGAATTCCAATGTCTTGGGGTTACCTATATGGACAGCAGGCAAGGCTTCGATCTTTTTGTTCAGCTTGAGCGCTATGTCGTCACGTGAGCAAAGCGTGAAAGTGAGCGCCTCTGTGAAGCCAGACTGTGCCACCTGTTCGCGCAGCTGCTCCGTTAGTTTGTTAAGTGGAAACTGTTTGGCGATTTGCATAAAGGCTGGCAATGATTTTTTGATGTTATTGTAGCCAAAGGCAATGGCAATGTCCTCGTAGACGTCGCAGGCATGTATGACATCATGACGCGTTGGTGGAATCTTCACGTTTAGTGAGTCGCCATCCTTGGCATCGACCTCGGTTTCCAGATACATACGTGTCAGCATGTCCGCCAGCTTGTTGGCCGGTTCGTTGATGCCAATGTATGCATTGGCTCGCTTCACTGATACACGCTCTGTGCGCACGGCCAGCTCTGGATAAGAAATGATGGTACCATCAGTTTGTACCACATCACATGGCTCGACAGTGAACTTCTTAGCGCAGTGCTCGGAAAAGAGGCATACAATAGTGTCCAGCACAACCTTGGCTTTGGTCAAATCTGTGGCAGTGCATTCGATGAACACATTTTTGGTTTTTAGCGAAATTTTCGAGTGATCTCCATTGATAATTGGTGGCAGCGACAGAACTACACGATTGGCATCGTAAATCACTGGGTAAACGGGCGAATCGCGTATGATGGGCAAATATTGTTTCAGCTGTGCATGCGTGGCATAAAAGTCCATGAGTTGAATGCCGTTCAGCTCTTGCGTTTGGTTTAAAGGAACAAATTTGATTTGCTCCGGTGGCAGGGCCTCATAGCTGAAGGGTCCTTTTATGGTGTCCAGATCGTGAGTGCCAATGGCGACCAAAGTACGTTTGCGGCAAATATTCTGATGCAGCTTGTCCTGCAGATCGATAAAGCTATTATAGGAATCCTGCGTAAAGGTAACATTTCGCAGCACTGCGGCCACAGCAAATGGACGAATTTGCGCTGTGGATGGGTTAATTTTCAGCACTTGGCGCTGCGCCGGTTCCACAAACTCAAACTTAGGCGGCTTCACTCTATAGTATTAATTTGATTTATGAATAATAGGGTTTTTGTGTAGTCGTTTTTCTACTCACTTGCCCTGAAAGACTCGCAGAGCCGTAACCAATCCTTCCAAACAAAGCAGATCATACCGATTAGCTGGTATATCAATCCTGTAGATGATTTCCTCACTGGCATCCGCCGCTGCCGCAACATCGCCTTGCTCTTTGGTGAGCATTTGCTTCTCTGTTGTCTGCAGCAAATGTTTTGAATGTTGAAATGATATTCATTATTTAGTAGTACACTCCAATTGCTTACCACTTCATCCAGCTCCAGGCCGAAGGCGAAACACAGTTCTTGGAACTCATCATCGGCTAGTGAAAGGACGAAGCATTAACATTGAAAATCCACGTGGACTGCTGCCGGTCAACTTACTGTATTTCTTGCCAAGTGCATCAAATAGCAGATCACGCTTAACTCCAATTGTTGGCATTGTGATAATTTAAATAAATTACAGATAGCTCCTAAGATTTAAAATTTCTTAATTTTATATTTTAAGAAATATTAAAAAGTATATTTGTTTGATTAGAGTGTGTACACACCTAATTTATCAATTTATTGGGAAATGTTATTTAACATAACACGAAAATAACATGAGCGATTGGTGGATTATTTTGAATGATGAAATCATATTTTAAGAATACTGTGTCTTTAAGCACTGGTTGCAAGAATATTTAAGATATATAAATGAAAATATCTATTAGTATAGGAATAGATAGAAAACGTTGTAAATTCTAGAAAAAAGCAAATTTAAACTTAACATTGGGAGTTTATTATTCACAATAGAGATGAACGATATGCACGATTTAATATGATAACTATCGATTCACACTTTTCAATAAAATTAGTATTTTTTCAGTTAATTAAATTTAAAAAATATTTTATATTTAAAAGATTCTGCATTTATAAAAATTGGCACAAGACATTGTGTCATGTTTATTATAAATAATTATTTTTGTACAAAAACGTGTCTTAAACGCCATATGCCACCAGTTTTGGATAACTGCAGAGTTATATTCAGTTGGACGCACGTTGTCAATAAAAAATAAAATAAAAACATGCCACACACTGCGTGTCGTTGTGTTGCTTATATGGATTCCAAATCGACAGAAAAAAGTGTATACTGGTGGCAGCTGTTATTGTCGCCTGGCGCTGCATTTCCAAGCTGTCCACACAAGAAATCGGAAGTAAAAAGCGTCCCACTTTTTTAGCACTCATCTTTTTTTTTTTTATTTTAGACCGAACGCAGTCGGAACGAGGTGTTTAGATAGAACACTGTCGACAAAATACAGCGAAAACTGGATCGATCCCAAGGCAACTTAAGCAATTAAGCAGGCAACGCGACGTCAAGCGAGCTCCTTGGCAGACGCGCGTCAGACTGGTACCAAAAAAAAAAAGTATGTATGTATGTGTATGTATAAACGATAACAAAAAAGTATGAAGCGCGTGTGGCCAAAAAGTTAATGAAGCGTTAAAAAATCAACTTGTGGTCATAAAAAAGCTGCGACCCATTTTAAACAGTTATGAGCTGAGCTGAGCCTTAACGAAGGCGGGGCGACACCATAGAGGATATAAATATATTGTCTATCAGCAACAGTCGTCCAATTATATACTTAGATGAAAGTCAGAAGGAACTCAGAAATGATATAATCAGCCAGAATTTTACAGATTTCCTTCGTCTACGTTTTTCTTTACCTCTAAAATTGGAAAAGAACAAGTTAGTCGGACATCCCCAATGGAATCACAATGGTATTGTATTTTTAAATATGCATTATTGGCTTCAATATATATTTCATTTGTGATCTATTTCCCTCATAAATATGTATTAAATTGAGCATTTTTCCACAGGATTTTCTTTTTTCTCAGTTTTTTGGGCTGTGCCCAAAGGAATAATCAATTTAAAAACGCCTTCAACTGCTCTCTGTTGCATTTTTCATAAGCATGTCCTTGCGCAGAGGCTTTGTGTTTGTTTGTTCAACCCTTGAAGAGATTGATTATTGTTTATATTTGTGCCTCCTGTGTGCATACGAATGCAGTGCAAACATACTCATCGCATCGGATTGTGGCCTGAACGACGCCAACGCCAACGCCAACTCTTCCATTTGAATTGGGGCAATTAAAGTGTGTGGTACAACTCACGGCTGAATAACTCTATAAACACGTGATAGATGAAAGGCCGGCTGAGCCGATTTTAACTGCGCTGCCCAATAACAACAACAACAACAACAACAATAAGGACAGCAACAACAATAGCAATTAACATTAACCCCTTCGACCTTCGTCGCTTGGCAGCGGGGGCGTTAATTCAGACACGAGTTCTTGGTCAATTTATCAAATAATGCGGCCAATTCCTGGAAAACGAAATAAAGTGATTATCAAGAGAATTGAGAATCGGCCATTATTATTGACCAGCATATTTTTCATCCTTGCTTTTGTCCTGGCATTGCTTTTGTCTCGCGGCATCTCTAATTCGTTTGTAATTATGCTAAATATTAAATTCATAACTTTATGTTCATATATATGGTCTACATATGTATTTAATATTTAAAAATTTAACTGGCATAGATGATGATTATCTGATGATATGCGTTGTAGAATATTTAATATTTCTATATTTCATTAAGCTACTAAAAATGCTGTAAATTAAAATTACGAATAAAATAAATTTTCATACAGCTCTCTGAAATCTCGCCAAAGTAAAAACATGATGGGTTCTTCTCACGCATAAGCCTCTAAAAATTGCCCTAATTGTTGACTAGTTAGTTTTTCACACGTTTGCTCCAGTTACAATTATTTGGCATCCGCCTCTTCCGCTCTTCCGGCAAACATGGCAAAAAATCAGTCGAGGCAAACATAAGATCAATTCATCATGTTGGTAATTGGATGGGAACGTGTAGATTTTCACTGATCTCTTGCCAAACCCTTGTGCTATTACCTGTTCCGCCAGCTGACCATATCTGACCTGCTGCTGTGTGGTCAGATTCATTTGAAATTAACTATATGCCATGTCGGCATTATACGATATCTGCGGTTGAAAATATCAATTTTCATATAATGCAATTGTCACCCAAGGACCTCCGTGTGAACTGTCAACGGGGCTGCACGTATGCTTCTGTCTGCATACGATCAGATCCCGAGAGTCGAAAAAGAAAATCGAAAATAGAGAAAAGGGATGCCTCGATCAAATCAACTTGTAGACTTGTGCTAGGCTTATCTGATGCGCAATTTTTCAATTTCATGAGTTGATGTTGAGAAATGACCCAGCATCGATATCAGTTACAATTTACATTTTATTTTTACACCGTTTGCGCACAGGTAAAAGATAAACATATCAATTACTCAGCATCGAGGCCCGTTGACAGACAAACCGAACTACTGCCACTGCTACCAGCTAAAGCCACTCCTGGATCTAACTCATCGTTTCTCACTTCCGAGAAAGTCATTTCTCACACTGGGCACTGGGATTTGTTTGTGTTTCATTTGGATTTCGATTTCGATTTCAATTTCTTTTGTCTTCTGGCCAGACGTAGTCTCAAGTGTCGCTTTTGGAAAGTGTTGCTACTTTTGACTTCTGGCTAAGTGTTTTGGGCCGCAGACCCTTCAGGTGCCAATGCAGCACCTAACAGCATCTATGGGAAATTATATGAATTATATTAAACGGAGTCCAACAGGGATAAGCGAAATCCTTGAAACCGTTTGAAAGTTTCGCTTTTTATTTTATTTTTATTTTATTTTATACATACACAAATAAATTTTGTTGGTTGTATTCGAGACGCTTGGCAGCAGACGTTACTATAAAAATACCCTGTAAAAATGTTGAGAAATGTAACAACAGAATGTTTATCTTATATAAGTATATGTTTAGATTCATATAAAAATATGCATATTTATAGATATATATAGAGAGATGCAAATCATTTCATTATTCATAAACTCTATTTCCAATAAAAGAGATTAAATTAAAATTGATTTCAGATCGAGTTAAATTCATTTTAGGTTAGTTTCTCAATTACCCACATTGTCGGCTCTGAGAGTCAGTTCAAAAGCCTAATATTTCCACATATGCAGAGCATCTGGATAGTGGTGCATTGCCGAGTGTTCTCGCTTGCTGTTTAACTGCGATTGTTACCCTAATTTTGAGTCGTCTTTAAAAATGAAACGGTCTGATCGCCAGCCTGACCGCTGGGCCCGGCCCAGCCATTGGCAGCAGATCCAACCACGCGTTGGATCGCCCGTAATGGCACAATCAGAATAGCTAGGCTGCGGCGCGGCGCACGCGTGTCATTCCTGGGCAGCAATCAAAGTGATGGGAAAATTGCGTTTGGGTTCAACAGGTTCGCTTGGCTGTGCATGATTTTTGTTTTTGTTTGCCCAAAGGTTAAACGTGCGAATTTCACCAATGGCAACAAAAATGAAAAGAAGATGGAAACGGAGGCCACGTCTTCAGCTCGAGGTCCAGGCCCAGGGCCTTTTTTGATCAGCGGTCGATCAATGAGTATGCGAATGCGCCACAGTTTCGTTTTCGGTGGTAATCGTAATCGTCTGACTTCTTGTGCTGCTCCTGCTCTTGCTCCTGCGCCAGCTCCTGACATCATTGGGCGCATACCGTACGCGAATTTAAAGCTTTTATATATATGTATATATATATCAGCTACAGCTACAGCTACAGCTAAAGCTAATTAAATGTAATTTGGTACTTCCTTTTCAGCCGAAATAATACATATAAATAGTATCTTTAGTTTACATTTTATTCGCGCTCTTCTCGGCCGGCCTCTGCGCTCATTATTATAAATTTTCGTTTTCTTACTTAAGGTCACTTCAATTCCATACAGCTATACATATATGTTCATGTATATGTATCCTATATGCCAGGGTTAGTTTGTATGCATGCTTCAAAGGAATTCGCTCGTTGTACCTCAAGTGCAACAATACAACAATTGAGAAAAGAACTAAACTGTGGACGCAGTGGAAAACCGAAACTGAAACTTGTTAATTGTTTTGCGCTCGAGTGGCGCGGCCTCTGTAGGAGCGCGCACGCTCTTCAGTTTCCACTGAAGAAACACTTTCCATTCAAGCCCAATAAACGAGCCATTGTGAAAAACGTTGGCCCATTCATGAAAGCACCTAAGAGGGGCACCGCGTTCTGTGTCTGAAACTGCAATTGTTGCGCCGCAAATTAGACGCTCAATTACTCTACAAAATTCCTGGATAATTTCATTGAAGTGAGTGGAAGGAAGGCGTACGGGCTTTGGTTCGTATAGGGAGTAGAGACACAGACATGCCTAGCCTCTCCTGCTGCTACGTCTGCACGAAAGTGAATCTTGACCACGTGGTGTTTCTTTGATTGTAACCCTTCGCTTAGACGATCATTTTTCATAATTTATCCTCTAGCCACATCCTTCCGTAAAATGTTCTCACACTTGACCCGCTGCGCTCGGCAACGCCCCGCCAAGGATCGGAAGTTGTTCCTGTGCCGCAGCATCATCATCGGCCTCGGCATCATTCTAGGCGCACTCAAAAATCTTGTTGCTCAACAGACGAGTAGAAAATCTTATTAAAATTTGTTATTTCTTTCGTGGCCCTTTTCTCTTGTTATATTTTTTGTTTTTTGTATTTTTTATTGCTTTAATCATTTTTATTTTGTGCGGCTTCCGTGCCACCTGTTATGCTCAGCGTTGGCGAAGGTGTAGCAGCCAGAAGCAGCAGCAACAGCAGCAACAGCAGCAGCAGCAGTAGTCGGAGCAGCAAGCAGCAGCAACAGCCTGAGGTCCTCGGATCCTTGAGGCCTTTTTGATTTTTCTCAAGTGATTGCGTAGTTTTCATCTTTTGTTCGCTTATTGTTGTAGTTCTCAGTGTTTCAAATTTGAATTGATCATGGCGTGCTGATCTGGGTAAGGGTAACGTGGGATCGCCACAAAAGCCATGTCCTACATCCGACCCTATCTAAATACCAATCACAATTTGTCGATCGATTATAATGCCTACTTCCGATTCCGACTTCGTTTCCGTTAATCCAATTCGAATGCAGCATGAAATTAATTTCTATTTGCAAAGACAAATGGCCTTGGGCCAGATGACGAATGCCAGCGAATTAGTCAAACTTGTTGCTGGATCAGGATCTGGATCAGGCCGGCGCCAAGCGGTTGCCAAAGATCACCAAAGAGATGGCTATCGAGTGCCGTCCACTCCTGTTGGCAAAACAAAACACAGGCACAGAGCAGCTTCAAAGTCGAGCCGTGCGACAAAAATTGCTACGCTTCACTCTGATCCCATCAGATGGCTGATAAATATATATGTGCATGTACATACATACAGATATAGATGGATAGATGCCGGCAGGTTGTGATAACCATCAGTATGCAATCTATAACAACAGGCTGCCTG